AAACAACAATAAAACAAAGTTGAAAAGCCAAACGTGAAAGAGATTCATACATGGACATGGGCACACATACAAGCGGGGCGTATATGTGTGCTTAGATCATATGTGTTTAAAGAAATCAGGAGGGGAAGATGAAGAGGAGATGGTGCAGATTGCGTTGAACACGTAGACAGGCGGGACAGGCAGGGCATCCATAGTATACAAAAAAAATTCATGCGCAGAAATAGCCCATATAACACGAAGACGCAAAAAGAGAGGATGTTGCCAAAGAAAACGAAATTAAATATACTTTAGAGTTCCACATGGTGTACGATCACTTAGTGCATCATCGCGTAACTTTGAATCATCTGGCGGTAAAACTGAAAGTTGGTGATCGTCGTCGTGGGAGGCAAACACTCGGTGGACAGGAAGCGAAACTGTTTAGGAAATCGCCAAAAATTACTACCAAAGTGACCGCGAAAAAAAGAAGAAAAAAAAAATCGAGTCTTCCCTCCAACAACCCACTCACTACTTATACATGTACCTATTCATCTCGTCCGTCGTGGTGTTCATATAATTAGGGGACTTCTTGTTCGAAATAATATTCTGAAGAGAAAATGGATTTTTATCGGATACAATGACGGGGGAAAAATCTGCGCTGTTGGAACCGCCATTATTATTGCTACTAGGGTTAACACCACCCCCACCGTTGGAGCTGTTAATGGCGTTATTATTGCTGCTACCATTGTCGTGCCACTTTGTCCTATCATTTAAATTGCCCTGGTTACAGTATGCCATTGCATTGTTCATGTTGTTGCTGTGTGAACCCTGGCCGCTGTTTCCATTATTTGCGTTGCTAATTGTGCCACCACTTATGCCACCATTTAACATAAATGGCGAGTTAGGGTTATTACTGTGAAAGTTTTTATTTTTAGAACTATTCATGTTGTTGTCGTAAAGCATCTTAGCATTAATCATATTCTGGTTATTCATCATGTATGGATTCTGTTTGGTTGCAAAATGACTGTACATGGAACTGGCGTTGCTATTCTGTTGGCTGTAGTTGTGGTTTAAAGAATTTCTTTTATTCATCAGGAAGAGTCTATTGGTCATACTGCCCTGCTGGTTGTTTGGGAAGTTTGAACCGTTAAAATAGTTTAAGTTTTCCACAGCCCCATTGTTGTATCGGTTTTTGTCAGCGCCGGTCCTGACGTTATTGTCGAAGGGATCGTACGAGTGCATGTTTATCTTGTTACTGTTGCTGCTTTTGTTGTTACCGTGGTGGTTGTTACTGGAGTGGTTGTGACCAAGGTGGTTGTTGCCTGCGCGGTTGTTGGTAAGGCCCCCGTTCGCCTGGCCACCGTTGCCATACTTCATTTTGCCCATCTCCCCCTCCTCATTCATCTTCATATTAAAATTGTTAGAGTAACCCATTTTGTTATTAAAATGGTGGGAGTTAAAGTCGTCCAAGCATAACTGATTGTTCGCGGCATTCACCATTTCGGCGTTTGGCGAATTCATGTACTTTGAATTGTAATTGTCTTTCGCAAAGTGGGGCGAGTCGAAGGGGTGGTCCGCATGACTCAGGCCGCTTTGGTTCATACCGCCTTGGTTGATGCCTCCATGGTTCATTCCGTTCGGTGGGCCAAAGTCGTTAAAACTACCCTCCCCTAGTTGATTATAACTTATGTGGCTCCCATCAAAGTCTTGGAAGCTACTGTCCATATTGTTGCTTTTATAATCTGAGTTGTTAATATTATTGGAATTCATAATTCCTATCATTCCAGGGGTGGTATGATCATAATCGTTAAGACAAAAGTCATCATCAAAATCTTCATCCGAGTCATCATATTTTTTTTTCTTCCTATATTTATCTTTGTTATGTTTGTCTTTTCTTCTATCTCTGTCTCGATCTGCCCCGCTTCTGTCCTTTTCTTTATCTTTTTTTTTTTTTTTTCCTTTTCTTATTTTTTCTTCATAATCGTAAGAAGAGCTGTTATCATCTGACACAACATCGATATGCTTCTTCCCTGAAGTGTGTCTACTTTTCGACTTGGACTTCTTCTCATTACTGTGATCACGATGGTGGTGGTGATGATGGCCGCTACTAGATTTTCGGCGATGATTACTGCGGCTATTATAATTTGAGGAAGATGCTACTCCAAATTTTTTCTCTAACTTTTGCACATCATAGAAGCTGATGGAGTCTTCACCGATTCTTTTTTTGTGTTTACTTCTGAATGAGCATCTATCGCATATAAATTCGTAATTGTACGTATCAACGAAGGTCGGCTTTCCGCTACTACAGTAATTGCATCTTTCTCTAGACGACAAGAAAAAGAGCTTTTCCACCGCGAGGGCTTCTTCATACTCCCTCTCCGAGATCCCTAATTGTGTGGCCGATGACATTTTCCTCTTTTGCGTGTTAGGTGACGATGGGGTGATTACCCAGAGTAATGCGTTTATAGGTAGGTGGTGCACGTATAAGTCGCGCGTACACATATACACAGAAGCGTGCACCTAGATACATATGCACACATATACACGTGGCAGATACATGCATACACAATGCATATGCTTTTTAAAAGATCATAGTAGTTAAAGCGAAGCGGACGAAAGGGGGATTACATAAAATAAGCAGACACGACTTTAATTTACTATTTATGCTGCGCTTTTGTATAGAATGCAAATAAATGGGGTCGAAAAAAAAAATCATTTTTTCTTTTTTCCCTCAAGTAATAAAGGCTTAAAAACAGAGGACGCGCGGCAAAAACGGGGCTGTTCTTTAAAGCTAAATATACGAATGGGATCGATTCTCCGCAATTGGAAGCCCGTAACGTTATATATACACGTATGGTACACATACGAATGGCAATTTTTGTACATACGCGCAATATATCACACGGAGGCGGTCTAGCACATACACACAGTAGTCCGCACGCAGACAAATACCATTATGCATAGGCACATATATTTGTCCTTAATGATATCATTTTATGTATCCCCATAGGGCCTACCTTGATTTCCCCTAATTCGTTGTGCGTACGAAAAAGTGATATGGGTGAGAGAGACTTTTAACATGTAAAAGTGGGATGAATTAAAAAAAAAAATTAATTAAAATATATGTGTGTAAAGTGCCGGCTCCTTCCCCGTTAGGCCTGCCTTATTACATCAGATACATGTGTAAATCGAAATATACATACGCACGAATGCAAATGTGATTATGTATAACACAGAGCGTGTTTACCTCCTCAAACGGACGCAAAATTCTTTCGCGCCTTTTTGGGGAAAACGTGAAATTAATTATATTCTTAAAATTTGCTTAAAAAAGGGGGAGGAGACGGGGCAGGTTAATTACGTATGTGTGCTTGAGGATATTTTTATATACACATGTATAAATATATGATCCTGTGTAAGCGTAAAGGCGTACACAAGTGTACATGCACGTGTATATACTTGCATATATAAAACATCAATACGTTAAACTGTGACGGTATGCGGTCTTCTCAAACAAAAGGGGGAAAAACATAATCACGCCCATTTATTTCATCTCCTCTTGTCGTTTTTTCCTTTTTTTTTTTTTTTTCTTTCCCTTTTCTGGTGAGCGACGGAGGCAGATGAAATGAATTTTCACGCAACAGTTATGTAGACTTACATTAAAGGTGAAAAAAAAAAAAAAACTTTTAATTTTTATAAAAAGGAGAGGGGAAAAATACACAGCCGTTTTAAAGCAGTAAAAAGTATATAACTTGTAAAAAATGGGGAAAAAATATATACGAATAAGTGGTCTCTACATTACAAGTACGAAAAAAAAAAAAGAAACTATTGTACTTGTATACATTTACGTAAAGCGAAATGTATAATATTCTTATACGTCAAGTAAAAACAGCGTGTAAAAAAAAAAAAAAAAGGAGGGGGGATGGGAAGAGGGGCTTGTATAACACCTTAACTCCCTTTGTGCGCAGGTTATGTGTTCACGAAAATGTACATATATTTGTGTGGCATGGCTTTCAAAAGGCTCTTCTGGCGAGCATATATATACACCCGTTTACATGCAAAACGTACGTTACACGCAAGTGCGAGCGCGTCAGTAAAGTGTGCTTATGCGTATGTATATTTGCGAAATCGTACGCTCAAGTGTACATTCCGAAGATATGTCACGTATGTATATATCATCGTGCGCCTATGTACATACGTACAACATACCACTGTAAGCTGTACTTGTACGCCCACTTTTGCTCAGCCAAGGTTTAAAGAAAACTTCTACAAATATGCGGCTTCGCCTGCATGTACAACGGTTAAGGGCAGATTTTCAGTTTTTATATTTTATGCAAAAATATAAAAAAAAAAATGAACATATCGTTCATTATCGCCATTATAAGTTTATGGCAATTCTTTGGCACGTTTTTTTTAAAAAAATAAATATGAAATAAATTTATATTATAAAGAGTAGGATTAAATATATTTTGCGAAGGAGGATGAAAAAGGATTGCAAATATATGTGGTACACTGTACATGTGACTCGATATGCGCATAGCGTACATGGATATACGACACAGATACGCGCATAACATAACTCGTACGTTACGCGCGATATACGCTACTGCGCCAAAAGAGAAATTTCGCTTACAAAATGTACAAAAAGAGGAGAGGTTATTTTTGGCGTGAATGAAAAAATCATACTGCTCGCGCGCCGCGCGCCTGAACGCTATCCGAAGGTATTCATAAAAAAGAAAAAAAATGCCTCAAAAAAATTCGTATACTATATGTATACAGCGCAAAACAGCATAGTACGGTACAGGACAGTACAGTGTACAGTACAATTATGTACCGCAAAAATGCCATATGTTTAATTCGAACGTAACGAATGTCCGCTCGATAGGCGCGCATATAATACGCACGTACATATTTATTGCACTTGCGCTTTTTCGCCCTTCTTTCTCGCCTCATAAAACCACTAGCCAACCAGGCTATATCTTTCGTGCACATGGATATTTTGTTATGTAAAAATTTATTATATGATGCATCATAACGCATGGTTAGTCTTTTTTTTTCTTTTCTCATTCGTTTTTTAGTTGACCACGTCGATTAAACCTTCCAACCCCTCTCGAGAAAATACTGCAATAGGGTGTATGATCATTAAAAAAGGGGTAAATATATTTTATACATCCCAAAGGGGGTTGGGCATGTATATTATGTAATTAGCAAATGAGTCAGCTGACCATACCAACAAATAATCGCAAGAAAAATACCTTTAAAAGAAACACTTTTTTTTCTTTTTCACGTTAAATGGGCTACACGGCATAATAACTACAAAACAACACCAGTTTCTTTCGTGAAAATGGAATAATCCTGCAACCCAGCCAGCTTTTAACTTCGAAAAAAGTGATATAAAAAGAGAAAAAAAAAAGTCACCATTTATAAGAAGTAGCCCTTTTCTCATCTGTGCCTAATTAAGCACATATAATAAAATCTTGCTCTCTTGCCATTGTGAGAAGAAAAAATTTGTACCGATGCGATGTTATGCATGTTGACATCAACCGGTGTGCCGCGCAACGGCTTAACCGCCTAAGCGTCTACGTGAAGCAGAATAAAAGTAGAAGGGTACATAAAATTTTACAAAGATTTAACGTCTTAGGGAAGGCTACTCTTTTGCCGTTTTGCCGCTTTTATCAGCAACATGTGGCTCGGCCGAAGGGTGCACAGAAAAAAGGCATTATCATCATATAGGCATAAGATTAAACAAACCGACCTTCGAGTCGTAATGCATCTGTACAGCATTCGCTAGGCTCAACTGCACATTTGGAGAGGTCGATTCGAATCGACAAATCGGGCTTAATCCCCATGTGGTTCAAAAAAAAAATGAAAAAACATATACATACATATATATATATATAGAGAGACTGACCTCATACGTATGCACATGTCATGTCCGATTCACTGAAAAGCAACGTCCGCTGATCCGAGCACTCTCTATATAATTACGGCACTCATCGTGCAGTGTGAAGTCAGCCATGCACTTTCCCTGTGCATATCGATTCGAATAAGGCACCTCAACGAATTTTATGTAGACCATTGGAGTTGAATCTGTGCACGGGTTCACGTGCAGTTGGATGTGAACTTGGGTGTGCTTCTTTACTGGCGCACTCTTTCGCCGCCGAAAAGGAGCTACTTACCACGTGCAAGTTTTTATTTCTCTTTGCCGGTATGTGCACTCCACCACTTTAGGCAACCAACAGTTGCCTTTAAAACGAACCCTCATAAGGCTGTGTTCATTTTGCTCAAATGCTTAATCAGCAGTTGCTTTAAAGAAAAAGTTCGAATGTTTTCGTGCCAGTGGGGGAGGCACGCATGTATGCAGATTAGATTATCAAATGGGGAAAAAAGGAAAATCAAGTCAATCAAGTAAATGAGATCAATCAAGTCAATCAGGTAAAATTACATCAAATCGCGCCAAAACAAAACAACCGCGTGCACGCGCAACCACTGGGGTGTAACAAACGTGATGAACATACGAAGTTGCACTGTTGCGCCATTTTGCGGCTCCGCGGATTTGAAGCAACGAAAATATAAAACTATAAAAGAAAAAATTAAAAAATACATAAGCTTTACTAAAACGTGGTGAGTTGAAAAAATTTCCCACCAAAGAAAGGTTAAACAAATGAGGAGTGAAGTATATCAATGGTGTATGAAGGGCTTTACGGAGAGATACTCAGTAAGATGGACGCACGCATCCGCGCACGTTTTATGTGTGCACCCCGTCCACCCTTCGCAGATGGTACAACTGACCACAAGATTAGTGAAAAGAAAAATAAATTAGTATAAAAAATGCACAAAATGGGGTCCCTTTATATTTCTTCCACTGAGGTGACGTTTTTTGGGTCGGAAAGATTCACCACTTGGAAGAGGGACTTGTGATGGAATTAGTTTCTGTGCAAGGGTAGGAAAGAACGCTAGAACTGTAAAAGTTCGCACAGAAAGGGACCGCCAATTTGTGCTTAACTCTGTATCATCTCGCATAAACTCAACCTCTGCACGTTGCAGTTTTAGATGGTCCTTACGTATTTTTTTTTCTTTTTTTGTCCATTTCTTCAACATAGGATGGTAGCAATGCGGGTGGGAGTCAATCATTCGAGGTTCTTCCCCTTCTCATTGGATTGCTTCTTGTCTTTTTGTACGAGAAAAACTAATTCTTCAAATTTTGTCTTAATTTGATCACTTTTGAGTTGATCCCCCTTGGTTTGATTTTTGGTTTTGTATCTTTGGGCCAGCTCCCTGGCCCTCCTTTTAAGGTTGGCAATTTTAATTTCCATGTCGTTTACATCACTCGTTGTAGAAGACATTAACTCTTTTTTCTTTTCTTGAAAGACTTTTAGACACCCCGCTAGTCCTCCCTGATTTTTAAAGGTGAGTTTTCTTGTCGCTCTCCTCACGAAGGGCACGTAGTTCGTTTCAGTGTCATTATCCTTGTCGCTGCGGTCGGCGTTCTGCCCCGCGTTGTTGACCAGCCCATGGCTCACCTGGCCACCCCCCCCCTGTTCTTTATCACCATTATTTTCACCCCTATACATTTGGTCGAAATTTACTTTGGTCTTTCTCTTAATCAGTCTATTCGCTTCTTTATTTTCATCCTTCCCATCTTCACTTGACTTTTCAATAGTATTGATGGAATTCAAATGGTCAGATCTGGTGAAGCTGCGACTTAGCAAGTTTTCCAAAATGGCCGAGCTATCGTTTTTACAGAGTTGGGACAAGTTTCTGCTTGATTGATTCAGTAAGCTGTTAATTCGCTCGCTTAACTTATCAGAGTTTTCTGAGTCACTAGAACTTATCGATTGGCAGGATTTTTTTTTTTTTTTCGCTCTGTCTTTCATTAAATCATCGTAACTGGTTCTTTCTTTGTCTGAGGAGTTGCAGCTTTGCTCCGATTCTTTGTCACTTTTGTCGCTCCCATGGTCGTCACTTTTCTTACCCTCCCCATTATAAACTTTGCTGCTTTCATTTGTCTCTCTTAAATTGCTGGTTTTACCTGGAAGGTGTAAAGAACCTCTACTTACTGCACAATCTTTGGTTACCTTATCGTAGTAATTATGGAAATACTTTCTTGCCCCTTTTTCAAACCGTCCCCCTTGCTCGTCCTTAGGAGTAATCCCCTTTTCATTGTCGCTACAATCTTCGTAGTAGCGCTTATCGTTATCATCGTGGTGGTACCCTTTATCGTTGTGAGACTCTCCACTTTCTTCGCAATATTCGCCGCTTGCTTCACGGTGCTCTTCACTTCCATAATAAAGATGACTATTTTTGTCATAGCAAACCCTGTTCTCATCATGGTACTTCTCATTTTCTCCTTTGTTGACTCCGCTCTCCTCATAATACTCTCCACTTCCATCATAATATAACCCGTTTTTATCGTAGTACCCACCATACGTATCGTAATACCCCCCATATTCATCATAGTAGCCCCCATATTCGTCATAATATCCCCAGTTTTTGTCGCAGTGTTCGCCAGCCTCGTTGTAATTCCCACTGCTTTCAGCGTAGTTCCCACCGCTTTCGTCGTAGTGTCCAGCGCTTTCGTCGTAGTGTCCAGCGCTTTCATCGTAGTGTCCAGCGCTTTCGTCGTAGTGTCCAGCGCTTTCGTCGTAGTGTTCAGCGCTTTCATCGTAGTGTCCAGCGCTTTCGTCGTAGTGTCCACTGCTTTCATCGTAGGGGCCACCACTTTCATCGTAGTGTCCACCGCTTTCATCGTAGCTATTTTCCTCCGCATCGCCATTTGCGTATTTTCCATGCCCGTTATCTTCATACGAGTCGTCATACGTCTCATTATGCTCTAGCAGATTCCCATTTTTATGTTGTCTTATGTTGCTCTTAAAGGAGTAGTGTTTTATGTTGCTGGCCGCGTTGGAGCTTTCCGAATTCGGTTTTGAGTTTTTTCTTGGTGTATATGCATAATTATGGAGTTTGTTTTCCAACGTTCTTCCCTTTCTTGTTTCGACTTTTCCGTTCATAACATGTTGGGGATGATTCTTGTAATTTCCTTCGTTCCACTTGTCCAAATTTTTGTAATCTTCGTATTTATGGCTTTTCTTTTCCTCACAATTTTTGGCACTTTCTGCAGTTACCTCTTCTTCTGGTGCCTCCTCTGTTGCTACTTCTTCTTTGCATTCTCTCCACCCCCCAGAGGGGGTATCAAAATACCACCACTTGGTGTTTATCAAGTCGTAATAATATCTCGTATCATTCGGCATTTTCTTGTTATTGCTAGATTTTTTTTTTTTTTTTTCCTTTTTGGTTCGTTGTTCCTTTTACATATGTACTTTCTCCATGTCATTTCTTAAAAGTTTTAAATCCAAATTTCACATTTAACACGTAATAATGTTCTCATAACATTATATATTCCGTGTACTGATATTCTACTTTGTTAACAAACTCTACAGTTGAACTCTTCTGCTTGGTTTCTCTACACTTGACATGTTTACCAAAACGCCATCTTACTATTAAGTGCTTCAAAAATTGTAAGTCTTTCTCACAGAAAAAAAAAAAAGACTTGCTATGGGCGTGAAAAAATCTGAGATATACTGGTGCTGTACAAGTGCACATACCTACGCAAGCACATAAATACGTGTATTTTTATATATCTATAAATACATGCATGTAGGCAAACATTACTTATTACAACATTATGTTTGTCGCGTATCCGCCCATGGAAGTACATATCTGCATATACTTCTTACCTCTTTAAAAGTTTGCAGCCAAAAGTGAAAAAAAAGGGGGAAAAAGGAAAATGAAAAAAAATCAGAACAGAGTAGAATTACGCATGTACACCTTCATATATTATGACGTTAATGACAAAATTTCCAAATTGCAGGAAGGAAAAACAGATGAAAAAAAAGTGATCTGAAAGTACGCAACGGTTCAATATGGAGGGGCACGGGGTTGTTCGCACAGTGCGTACATATACATGGGTATATTCATATATTTGTACATAATTTTACGTCACTCCAGTTTTTTTCTTCCACTTTTTTTAACGAGGAAAAGAATAAAATGAACATTTCTATTTTCACGACAGCAAAAATCTGTTGCGAAAAAAAGCGGAAAAGGAAAGAATGTACTCCAAAATGAACGCTTAACCATTTTGGGAATTGCAGCCACCGAGTGAAATTCTTCAGGGGCACACACAACATAAAGTCGAAAATTGAAAGCATAAAAAAAGTAAAAAGCAAAAGTACAAAACAGCACAGAAAAGGAAGGAGTGAATATGAATAAAAATTAATTTCCCCAAATTGTATATGCTCTGTTCGCTCTGCGTATTAGGAACTCAGTGACACGCATCATACAAGTGCAATTTTTCTTCCTCATTTGTATGTGTACACATTTTTTCGACAGTCAGAGGTATAAAACGGTTATAATGGCATAAACGCGGGTAATTTCGTTTGCTTTGGTTTGTTTCCTTTTGCTTTATTTCTTTTTTTCTTCGCGCAAGGTGCACAAACGTTACAAACATTCACACAAATTTCTGTAAATTTTAAACTGCCTCAGCTTCGAAAAGGAAAAACAGCACCGTTGTAGATATGGTAAAAATAAAGTTCTCCTAACAGTACCACTTTTGAATATGCAGAATGGGATAAAAATGAATCACAATGGTTTACCCTAAACGGGAAGGCGAAAAGTACCATGTGCCACATGTTGTGCATTCGGTATGTCCTACGAGCAAACAATTTTGACAGCCCCCAGTGAACCGCATAACGAATTAATTTTGTTCTTCAAAGTGAGCTCCTACATTCGTGGCTGTCTTTAAAGGGAAAATGTTCCATTACAAAAGAAGAGTAAAGGAAATTCATGCAGGATGTCGACATGTGCATACATATGTGCCATGTGACGTAACTGTAAAACAAGCGATCCTTCCGCTGATCATTTGCAAATAAGTAAATATGGGAAGGCACTACAATGCCATTTTTCTCCCAAGACGAATTTGTATATGCTTATATATCCGCGCATATGTACGTAAATAGCATTTCGCTAAAATGCAATCCGAATGAAAGTTCCCGTGTAGACACTCTAAAACAGGGGTCTATAAAATGCTCGCGCGAGTTTATGATGAATCGTTGTTCTTTATTCACGCCATCATTGTCAGGACAACGTTTGAAGCGCTTAAACAATGTGACCAACTGCAGACATTTTAACATAGAAAAAATTAAAAGAAAAAAAAAATAATACGGATGCGCGTCAAAATAGCTAGCGAATTAGACCGAAAAAATGACCCGACCAAATGACGTAAAAAAAAAAAAAAAAAAAAAAAAAATTGCATGGAAGACGCTACTTGGTTGAATGCAAAAAAAAAAAAAAAATAGCTAGTTGTGTGCATAAAATGGATAGAGTCCGTCTTAGTTGTATTGTCTGATTTCCAGGTTGCACCTATAGCATATATACGCTCTTCCAAAAAGGTTAATGAATGGAGATATTCGGAAAGCGATCGATCATACATGAGAAGAAGAAGGTTCATTTTATTTTGTTTCATTATACTTCTTTTTGATATTGATTTTAAATGGGGGAAAATAGCAATATTTAAAATTCTCTTGAAATGGAGGTGCCTCTACTAACCCCCTTCACAATGGCTAAAAGGCATATTAGTTGCAAACAGGTTGCTCAATGAACATTTGTCATTTGAATGAAGCAAGAAGGTTAGCTTTTAATATAGATTGCTCACCTGAAGGTAATTAAGCATATTTCGTAAAACTGATCAAAAAAGAAAAAAACACAAAAAGAAAAAAAAAAAAAAAGGGGAGAAACAATATCATTAACAATACATGCAGACAGAACATCACCATTTCGGCAGAATAATTCTTAAAAAACGCCATTTTTCGGGTTTTTTTTTTGGCACAACTATCATGTTTAATGATAATGTGATGTGCGAAAGGGGGGTATGCGGTGGGGGAAGAAATGAATATATGTATATTAATACGTGGGGCCGCATCGGCGGACAGGCGTATTCACAAATAGGCACAAGTTAAAATTTTTCAAATTTTGAAAATTGACTAAGAATTTCGGAAGATCGCCTCTAAATTTCTTCCGGTTAAAATTTATTTCCTAAATGGATATCCTTTACTGCTGATGGCATTTTTCAGCATGGTCTGTGCTTTTAATTCTTCAGGTGACTTCGCTCCTTCGTTTTTTCTACACACATGGAAAGATAAAAGGGCATATAAACATATACAAGCTAGCTTACATGACTATTACTAAAGCAATGAATTGCGCATGCAGGCTTTTCTTTTTTATAATCACGTCTTATTTGTATGCAAGTAAGCTTTTATAAAAGTGCAGGTATCAGCAAAACACGCAGGAATAGACGTACACGAAAAAAATGTGCTTGTCCAACTCCATATCTTTGAAGTACATATATTTATGGATAAAAATGTAAAATACTGTATTTTTGATATAGGGTTACATTTTCTGCTGTTGCAAAAATTTCCGTATTTCTCCCTGCGTTTTTTCATCAAAATCGGTTAAGTTCTTTTTGGACTCAATTTTGGAAGTGTCTATTTCTGGGTCCCCCATTATTACACATGGCCACCAGTTTTCTCTTTTTTTTTCCAAAAAAATGATTAGCTTTTTCTTGTCCTCTATGTTCCACATGCATTCCTGCTTATTCACTTCTTCGTAAAAGGTGCCTTCCAGTTTTAGTTCATCTGGGGGGTGGAAGTGGGGTGAAAAAAATATAAAAAGTAAAGTTGCATATACCTTTAAAGAAATTAGATCCCATTAGTTTTAAGCAGGCTGAAGAGGAGTGGCAAAACTGTTCGCCCTTCTTTCTTCGTCTTACTTTTGTGATACACTTTAATGCTTTTGTTCGAAATTTGGACGTTGATTTCGCTGGATTTTATTTCAGTGTGGAGCGGCATTTCTATGTTAATTTCGTTTATGGCCTGATTCCAGAGATATTTCTCAGTTTCCCCTCCATTCCAGGTTGATATGTGGTTTTCACCTGAATCGGGGCGCATATGAATATGTATGTGCGTATGTATGTATGTGCGTATATATGTATATGCGTATATATGTATGTACGCATATGTGTATGAGCATCTATGGGTATGTATGCTTAGAAGACGTTGCATATATTTGTTAGCCCCCTATTTTCTGGGGGTAATTGCTACGTGTTTGTGATTTCTCTCCCCCTTAACGCTATTTCCAAATAATTTATTACTTGCAGTGACACTAATTGGTATTGCCCCAGTTTCTACCTTCTTCTGCATATCCTTCTGTTTATTTTTCACTTCACAGAACTTTGAGGTACTCGATTTTTTTAACTCATCACATGAAGGTAAATATTTGTTCCTCATGTCTTCATTTTCGATTAAATAGGGCTGCTTTCTGATAATATAATTTAATTGGTGTTTTCTAAATGACTTCATTAAGTTCTGTTCCCTGCTATGCGCTTTGAATCCACACTTGTTGTTATTTAAAATGTCCTTCCCGAGAGTGCCATCATACTTTTTGGCCAATGTTCCTATATCATCCTCATTAAGCATCACGTGGAAGTAGTCAGTTTTCTGTTCGAGGAAGGACAAAAAGGTTTCTATGAAATTGTCTATCGATTGGAAATCTCTCGCAATGGCGAGTAGCATATTTTCGTGCTTTTCGTTCTCCATATTTTTTTTAATTTCGTCTAAACCGTAGAGGTGGCAGCAGCTGTTGATTTGTGTGACGAATCGTACTGCAAGTCTGCGTGTGAGGGTGAAGACTGTCAAGAGGGCAGTAGGAGGGGGGGATGAGTTACGCAAATAGCTACACCAAGGAGGAGCAGCAAGGAGGGGCGATTTAACAAAACGGGGTGATTAAAATGTTGGGGTTGAACTGTGCAGACACCTAGCCAACGAACTAACGTAGGAAGGAAGCAAAACTGAAGTCAAAATAGAATTCCATGATTTTTTCCTTAATTCTTAAATGCGGTCAAGTTTAGTTATGCGTCATATAGCGGAAAGAATTCTTAACAAGTGAACTGTGTAAAGCGCATGTGTTAAATTAGTTCATCGTGTGGGGGGCTACGTTTAAGTCGCGCGGAACTTCTTAAGCTAGCTTTGGCTGATTCAATAATCGAAATCTTCACGTTTGAGATGTTGCCAATTCGCTCAATTCTTCCTTTTCATTTGGCACGCTTGGCATGGTATGCGCTTTGTTTTGCTGATTTGTTTTGCTCATCTTTTTGTTCATTTATTTTGCTTCTTCTGCCTGCACAATCGCCCCCAAGCATGCAGCAAACGTGCGACAAACGCCTTTTGCGCGCATGAATAGTCGAACCATGGACTGGCTAATATTTCTTGATGGGGCTGGAAAGCCACGAACATTATATATTCCATGCGCATGGTGTGGAGTCAAAAGTATATCCCTTTTTTTTAGCAAAAGGGCGTAAAATGGCAAGAAGAAAAAAACATACCACGTGGTTAGCCGTATTGTGTGGATACGTGCCAATCTGTTGGTGCAGAAGTTTGTACGATTTATGCAATGTGGTAATTTGTTCGAGTTTTTTTTTTTCAACTTTTTCGTGGGCTCTCTTTTTGCCTACCACAAAATGGGGACTGTTCCTTTCACTATCCCCCTCATTGCACGAATGAAGGGAATAATTAACCGTCCTGGAAAATGCGAAAAAGGGGACCTCGCATTTATTTTTTCTCATGTGTAAAAGATTGTAAACATGTCTGCTGATTTAGCTCCGCTTTGCGATCGTGCCCAGTACTGCCGCGAAGACGTCAAGAGTAGTAGCGTAGGACGGGCACACACATCTGATCCCCCTATGACATGCCTCTCGCGTGGCATGAAGAGACCATTAAACTATCCCTTTACTATCCCTCAAAGATAATCAATTTGGGCATATTTGTAGGTGCGGAGTGCTCTTCTTTTATGCAACGTTTAAAGGTCGCACAGGTGGGGGTCCACCCGGTTGGTGGACAATGAAAAAGGGAAGAACAGGGAAGGCGAACAGGGCAGCAACTCGCGGAAGAGCGCACACAGGGCAGCAAGGCACGGAAGAGCGCACAGAAGGGGAACATCTTTTACGCCTCGCACTGAAAAAATTTTGATCATTTCTCGTGAACAAATCAAATCAGGCAAGCAGCCGTTCGTAAAGTTGCCGTCTTCCTGTTATGGCGTATAGTCGAGTATACATTAGTAGGAACAGCACTGAGTTGGGGGCATCAAAGGGACGCCTTTTCCCCTCATTCTTTTAACAAAATGGAATGAATGGATAAATTTCTTATCATCAATTTGGACCTCCAAAAGGGTGCATCGGAATTGTTGTAATAGTCGTAATTGTCGTAATTGCTGTAAAAATCGGTAAAACATAAATTGGTCCCCTTCCGCGAGCGTTGCCATGATATAAATTTATCGCTCTTGTATGCTGTGTGGGACACGGGTTACATGTTTATGCTGTGCCATTTCGTTGGGATGCGAAAACTGAGCATGTATATTTTTCCCCCTTTTTGATCTCACAAAGTTGTTTTGCTTACGCATGTATACTTGGACAAACGGACATTTCGAACTGCGTCATTTTGTGAAGCGTATTTGCGCTGCGTCACGAACATTGTCGTTTGTTATTGTTTCTTTTTATACAACCAAAAGATTAAGAAAGCGAAGTGATGGCAGCTGAAAAGTATAATTAAAGAGTAAGGTGAGACGCATCAAAAGGGAAAAGATGCGATAACAACATATTTTTATCTATTTAGTGGCAATAAGGGTATACATTTTTAACATTCCATATTTGTATGCTTTCTCCTCTTCCGCTGTTGAAAAGAAGGAAGCAATTTTTTTTATTTATTAACCAAATGGTTGCACTTCAAAAAAAAAAAAAAAAATTCCTCATTTTAGCTATTTTTCATGTTGTACAAAATTGGGAATACGTAAAATACACTCGCCGTCGTCAGCCAGAGACTTCCCATTCATACCACAGCATTTGAATTTGCAAAAAATATGTGGAAAAGGGGGCAGCAGGAAAATTTCAATAAAAATCACGATACGTATATGTATATAACATAAATATATATTTATGTGCATAACTTCTACCACTAGGTTAAAATTTTCGCCCCATCCTCTTTCAAATGAAGACTTGCATGCGATTATTCTTTTTCCTTTTTGTTTCAACGCAGTAATAAAAGGCATAACGACATATGGGCGCGAGTTCGCTTGGCCACATAGAGAACATCAGCGCAGTATTTATACACAGTGTATACTGCAGCAATATAGGGTACATCCACGTATCCTGTCTGTGACCACATCGGCGCAACATCTGTGGGCCACATCCCCGGGTAAAATAAACTGCTGAGCCCTACATGTAGAGTGTAAATGTAGGCCCATTATCTAAATATGCGTATAATGCTGCAAACATTTTGTCACGAAAAAATAAAAATAAAAGCTGCGCAAAGTAGCCCCTCTAACATGAGTTACAAATAAGAAGATTTAACCAAACGTATTTATGCCCATACAGATAAAAAATATACATAGGCACGTATAATTCTTCTGTATTTTCCTCTCTCTTTTTTAAAACGTATCTCTTTCTCTATATTTACGGAAACAATTCAACTGCGCATATTTCTCGCCCCACATTTGTACATTTTATTGTTATATGTCGAATTTATTTGCAATCGCATTTATGTATACATTTCTCTTGCAAGAAACAAACGTTTTTTTTTCTCAAAATAGTTTGCTTAAAAAAGTAAAACAAAATAAATATCCCCATCCAAGCAGGATAGCAAGATAAAAAAAAAAAAAAAAAAATAAAAAAAAAAAAAAAAAAAAAAAATAAAAAATTAATTTATTGCTACTCTTTTATAAAGAAGTTACATCCCCCGAGCGTACATTTCTCTGACTGGCGTTTTTTGAAAGTTGCATCTGTTCAAATAAGGAAGTACCTGTTTCTTTGAAAGGAAAAAGTCCCAAACAGTGCCAAACAGTGCGAAACAGTGCCAAACCGCGCAAAAAGCAGCAACCACACAACGTACAGAATTATCCCCCCCCAGGCAGCACAAAATGTTTTACGGTAAGTGAGCTGCGCCCTAACGACTTAAACATCCATGCAATGTCCTGCTTGCATATGCCCAATGACTGCATTTTTGCAGAAGTTCTGAGTGTACCCATTAAGTTTATTTTCCTTGCCTTCATTTTTTGCGCCTGTATGTTCACACGCTCATGTTGCGTCAGTCACTATCCGCATGATGCGCATGTGGAGGCGCTTTTTCATTATGAGATCCCCGATTTATGGACCATGTCGTTGATTTTGCTCATGCTTATTTTTCAACCCCCCTCCCCCTAAGGAGGGGTAGCCCTTTTTCCCTTGCATAGAGGCCGTTATGTTGTATGTATATATGGGGAAGCGGCATAAATAGAGATATGTACATATAAGAGTGCGTGACGCGGCTAGCATTTTTGTTATAGAAAAACCAAATCGCCCCTCTCTAATGGGAATCACAATTTCTTCATCCATCTGAACTTGCTCCATGTACATTTTTCTTTACCCCCCCATCCGCCTTCTCTACCTTGTACGCAGGAAAAGTAATTAAGGCAGACGAGACGGTCGTACCGGAGATTAAGGACGGATACTCTGTTATCCACCTGTCGAGAGCATGCTTAAACAATCCAGAAGATGAAGGGAAGTTGTACGTACAAGTGGAAGATGCCAATGGGTGCTATAACATCTGCTGTTTGCAAAAAAACGTGTGCGAAGATACCGCCTTGGATATATTTTTAATGCTAGATAATGAAGTAAAGCTAAAAACGAGTGGCAGTAAAAACGAAGTCCATATTGTTGGGTATTACGAAGTGTCATTTGGTCAGGACCATCTGGATGACGATGATGAGGAAGACGAAGAGTTGGAAGATGAAGATGACGAATATGAAAATGAAGAGGTTAGAATGCTTACGAGGAAAAATACGCTGAAAAATTCGCTAGCTAATGGATTTGGAAAAAAGAAGAAAAAAAATTCTTTGGATGATGATGACGAAACGAATGTAGGAAATAACGATGACGATGATGAGGATGATGACGACGATGATGATGAGGACGAAGATGATGAAGAGGGAGAAGATGACGACGACGAGGACGACGAAGAGGATGACGATGAAGATGATGAAGATGACGAGGATGATGAGGAGGACGAGGAAGATGATGAAGACGATGAAGACGATGATGAAGATGGGGGCAAAAACAAAGGAGAGAAAAAAAAGAACGGACCAAAAAAAAACAAAAATAAGAGAGCGCTGGATAACAAAAATGATGGCCCATCCAAAAAATCCAAATTGTTTGACGAAAGTCAATACGAAAAAGACCTCGTTGCATTTTTAAAAAAAAATGGAAAGTGCAAATTGCCCGAGTTAGGAAAAGTCAAGAAGCCCGAAGGACTGAAAATGAAATTGGGGTTCTTTATTAAGAAGCATTCAAACGTATTTAAGCTTGACACAGATACCCAAGTGGTTTCGTTGAAGAATAACTGAGCAGATCGTTTGTCATGTGGCCGTGGGGGGAATAATAGGAAGGGGAAAAAGGGGGGCCAGTCGAGATGCGAACAGGGGAGAGAAATGTCCCCACCCCCCTCTAACATATGGAGCCTGCACGGTTCTGCCCTGCATATATGTAGAACTCCATTTTGCGTCATTATTGCTAGGAAAGAGCTTTCATTTATGTGCAAAAATTTCCCGTCCTTTCCCCACGTGTGTAGAATAACAGCCATTTAATTTAGCTTTACCCCCCACCCACCCACACGCTTGCCTCCTTTCATAAACATCCCCATATATCCGTTAGGACTTCCCAGTAGCAGTTATCATTCTTCCCTTTTTAACCCTCTTAAATAATTGTTTCCCTGTTGACAGGTCTCATTCGCCAATTTTTTTTCCCCCTTCTATTAATTATTATAACATCTTTTTATTTGAACATGCATACGTGTGTCCCATCTATCTGTGTATAAATATATAACCACACAAAATATCCATCATACGAGAGCGTGTGTATGTATATATGGTGTGTGCTGTGTGTGTGTCTATATATCAAGTGAGTTTATAAAAGTGGAAGATATGGGGCTATGTGTTTTTTTTTTCGCTTTAATTTTACATAAAGGCATTAATGGATGCGCAGTACGCATATGTAAGTGTTCTTATGCGTATCAGCGGCGTATCTGCCACCAATCAGCTGCGCACAAAATGCTGACACTCTGGTGTTATACATCCCCCGGCTGGTGGAACGTACTACCACCGTCTCCATTTCGTCACTATAAAATCGTGTATTAGTTGAACAGTCTCTGCATTTTTGAAGAACCAAGTTATTCCATAACACATTTTTATTAAACGTTTAAAAATAACGCACAAAAAAAAGCAGCATTTTGGTGGAGGCTTTCCACAGCCCCCATCCATGAGTTATAAAGACAGGCGCTCGTTCCATTGTCAACCCGCTGTACCCCTACGTTTTTATAAAAAATAGCACAAAAGGGTTTTCCCTCTCCCCATGAATTGTTAAAAGAATTAAAGGGGATAAAATTTTTATTTACCCTTTTATTGTGATAAGTCATCGGGGATGATGTTTCATCCTTCTGGGGAGACAGTTCAAAGGGTTTCTCAAATTGGTGCGCGTGAACATGCTATATGTAAGTACAAGCATGACCGTGTGCCACATGAAAATATTTACAGCAAGGAGAGAAAAATTTAATAGAGTCGCATTGCATGCTGCAATTTCTTTCATTTTGTTTTACCATTTTATGTAGCTTCTTCGCTGCACAGGTATATTTTTGTATAGCTGTTTTATTTATTTTTTTTTTTATTTTGGTGGAATGTTGAATTTTTCTCGCATGTAATATTTGTGTATTTTACAGTTTGCTATATTTAAGGCTTATTTTATTTTTTTGCATGAAGGGGAAAATATGAGTCACGGTATCTGGCCTGGTGGACAGACCTTTCCACCCATCCACGCATGGGGTGCAAAGTACACACGTATGCAGTGAACATTTTTTTCGCTTGAAAAAATGTTTCACAAAAATCCGCCCATGAGCAATGGGACTAATTCGAAGAAAAAAAAAGAAAAGATTGGCCGTGGTAACAGCAATTGTCACAATGGCCGTCACAACAACGATAAATAAATACGTAAGACCGGGGGGAACTTTCTTAACAATACAAATATGGTCAAGTTGGATGACGTGATGAATGGGTCAGCAATTAAAAAGTCATGCGTTGAGGACGGTGCGATAATGGGTGGGAAAATATATAACGCCCTGCTCTGCCCGTTACACTTGTCATTTGGATTGTAGATGGCTATTTTTCTAATATGTACCATAATGGTTCGGTTCTCTTGATCTTTGTTTCATGCTGGTGAAAAACGGGAAGAAAAAAGAGGTGTGCATTTTTAAAAATATTTTATGAGAGGAATCATTTTGTCCAGCTTTACATTGACAATGCCACACGCTCATCATTTTATGATGTACAAAGAGTCGCACATATTGCGGCGACTTTTTTTTTTTTTTTTTTTTTCTCAGTTTTCGTTTATTACAAGTAATAATCAGCATCTTCTGCATTTTTCTTCTTCATGTTCTTTACGTTACTGGCATTGTAATCGCACTGATCTAGGTCGTAGTCATCGTTACACGCATTGACGTTGTTCATATCTGAGAGGCAAAATAGTTTCCCACACATGTACACACGACGCATATGAATATGCTCACATGGACATGTCCATGTGGGTGGCCAAGTTCAGTCATTCTCTTAACACGCGGTTGGCATTTCTTTCGAGATTTTTTTAATAATTGTCATATATATTATAGTGGCTTGTAATTGTTTTTTTCTTTTTTTGCTTTTTTTCTATGTTACTGAATCCGGTTCGCGCATTTCAAAAAAATAAAAAAAAAACGTCTCTTTCGCATGCCCATTTGTCTTAATTTCGCGAGTTTTTCATTGTTCAGTTCACGTAATTTATTTCCTCGCACACGAGGGGGTTAACATGTACAAGGTACACAGGGACATATTGGCACGCTCAAATGCACACGCAGTTATATGTGGACAAAAATTTAGTCCCGTCACGTAGGAACAAATATATATCGCCTATTAAAAAGGCGAAGCGTAATTATTACTGTTATCATCGTCTGATTTGTAGTTCTCCTGCGGGAAAGGGGATGAAGTGAAGATGCGAGCTGGAGTGAAGCAAACGCGTAGGAGACTGAAGGGGCTGTCAAAATTTACAAAGCGAGTGCACTATACCAAGGGTGAGAGCTAAGCCGCACAAACACCATGCAGTAAAGGCAAAATATACATACAAAGTTAGCCCTCTAGATGGAATAAAATTGATGCATGAATCAAAAGGTGCACACAAATGGCGCACAGATGATGCACAAATAAAGGGGAAGTAAAAATGGACCCACGTCCAAACCTATTCCATCAGCTATATTACCTTCATGATGTAGTTGTTGTAGCTCTTTTCCATATTGTCGCAGTTGTAGATGTCGTTTTTTCTCTTTATGTTCATGTTGTGGCCTTGGTACATTCTATAACAAAAAATGAGGGGAAAAAAAAAATGCAAGGTATGGGTGAGAAGAAGTTTTCCAGTGGAGGACGCGGAATAGGAAGCGTTTCTCTCTCTTCCTTCTACGCTTGGCCCCCTTTGCTCATTTGTCGTGTCAATGAGACTATGTATCCGCAACGGCGCTTCGTTCGGGGTATCCACGTGCTATCGAGTAACACGTGGAAAAGAGCCTTAGAAAAAAGCATTTTATGACTCCCTCTGCCGCGCCCTAGATGGCTCCCTTGATCGGTCCATCGATCTCTCCAATGGACCAGCGCATCCGCTGCACGCCGCCTCGCACCTTACTTTTTGTTAAAGTTTCCCATAGGGGGGGGCATGGGAATGTTTTGCTGGTACATATTATTCCTGAAGTTGTTGTTGAAGGCACCATTAAGGTAGGGGTTCATCATATTGTTGGAGAGGTTCGGATTGACATTCATCGGAATGTTCGTCATACTATTTTGCACATTCTGAGATAAATTGTTCGGCATCCCTTTAAAATTATTAACAAATGGAAAATTATTCTGTTTATAATTCATATTCTGATTTGGAATGTTCACATTATTTGGTTGCATATTCAAATTATTTGGGGGAGGTGGAGGGAGATTCATATTTCCTTTTTTATTTAATGAATAATTCATATTATTCTGCATTAAGTTATTCTTATACTGCTGTTGGAAGTCATTTTTCGGTTGCTTATTTTTGTACTTCCCTCCTTTATATTTATTCATATTCATTAAGCTGTTCATATTCTTCATCATATTCATGTTGTTCATATTCATATTATTCATGTTCATATTTCCCATGTTCATGGGCATGTTATTGTTAAGCATGTCTTTCTTAACTTTGTTGTCTCCTTTCCATCCTGAAATTCTTGGATCGTATTTGAGAGTTAGTCTCGAGATAAGGACACTTTTGCTGTTTGCTGAGTAGAGCTTAAACAAGAAACACTCATTCACATGTCCCAGTTTTTCGATGGAGTAATCGAACACCTGGGGTGGTATTTTCAAAACGTTGTATTCATCAGGGTCATCTTCCTTTTCTTTGTTTATCTCATTTTCTTCGTTGTTCCTTGCATTTTCGTTGCTCTGCGCATGGACATTATTGGTACTACTACTATTATTGTTATCGTTGTTTCCGTCCCCATCTTGTCTCTTCTCTTCGTCATTTATGCCTTCTCTCTTTCTTCCTCTACTTTCGTCATCCTTATTTTCGTTATCATCGTCTCGGTTCTGTTCATTGCCCATGTTCCCCGCAGATCCGATGTTGTTATTACCTCCGCTTCCACCTCCTCGGCCATTTTTATTCTTACTGATTGGCAGCTCTGTCATCCTGAAGCAGTAGTACTTACACGTCTTTACCCACTCGGGCAGTTCGTTCACAATGGGCAGATTAAACAGGACGGGTAGCCAATTCGCATGCACGGAGAGGTCTAAATTATAATCTTTACTGTGTTCTCTTGAGATGTTACAAAATTTTGCTAACTTTTTCGGTTCTATGGGCAGGAAGGGCAGACCGTTCTTCTTACCATGAGAAGCGTCTCCCAATCCCTCCTCCACTGCATTGTTTGTATTACTGTTAGGGTTACTGTTTCCTTCCACATTGTCGTTGTTGTCATTGTTTTTATTGTTGTTGTCATTATTATGCTGTGCCCCGTGGACGTTTCCATCGGTCATAGGCAACGAACTGCCACTCCGCGCGGCCGATTCGTCTGGGAATAATAAGTATACATAACCATCAGGTTTGACTATATTTTTACTACTTTTTAAAAAACTAAAACAAAATAAATTTAAACGTAACTTAAACATCTCCGTTTGTGGATCGATAAAATCTGGATGTCCATGAAATGACAACCCGGGTAAGATATAATATAACGCATCAAAGGTATTCGGGGGAAATTTAGATTTTAACTGAACTGGGTTAATGCCATAGTGAATAATCACATTCCTGCTTAGTGCCTGTATGTTACTCTTACTTTCTTGTTTTAATTCATTTTCTTTCAAACAGCTACAAACTTCAACAATGTCGTCATCGTGATCGGCTAGGAAGCCGTTGCAGAAGCTGAAGTTCTCATCACCGAAAAGGAGGATTCTCTAGGGGGACGGGAAGGGGGAGATGATAGGTGTGAGATGATAGGCACCGGATGATGGGCACTGGATGATGGGCACTGGATGATGGGCACTGGATGATGGGCACTGGATGATGGGCACTGGTTGATAGGTGCGGTATGGATTACTGCACAATGAGGAACAATCCGCATCAGCCCATCTTTCTAATTTACACCATTTTTTTTAAATGAAAAAAGGGGCTCATCATGACGCAGATGGGCGAAACGCGCCCGTGTGTCTAAGTTGCCGTTCTTACCATCTTCAGTATGACGCAATAAAAAAGGTGCCTGTGTAGTGGACTTTCGAGGGGGCGATATTTGTATACACAAAAATTTATATATATATGTAATTAATTGTCTCTATTTGTATCTGTTCGTATCTTTATATATCATTATATGGGTGGAAGAAGGAGAGTTTCCTGCTCTAATTAGAGAGTGATCAAAAACAAAGGGGGTTAATACGAAACAAAGATGCCTTATTTTAAAAAACACAATAATCTTGTTATTTCATATGGTTTCGGGTTTTCCTTGCGATAGTGGTTCCTCGGATGTTTTACTAAAATGCTATAGACACGTTGGTACGCTGGCACGTTTGCTCGTTCGCGCTGCAGCTGATTTCTATTCTCCCTCAACGCTTCTTTTCTGTATTCTTCTCTATAGGGGCGATTAACGGCTCGCTTGTTGAGTAACTCACTGGCTCTCTATCCACTTACGCTTGATCAACTTTGTACCTTCTGCTGTGTTATCCCTTTCGACAATAATCGCTTAAAACAGGAACGCGTGGATTTTTTTTCAAGTCAAATTGTTTTCAAAATCACAACTGTGATTTTCCAAGACAGATTTTGTTCTGAACCACTGGGGTGTTTGTCAGTAAGCGAAGCTTTGCGCGTACGTGCGTGTGTATGAAAAAAAATATATATATATGCGTAAAGGCGAATGTAGGTATGTACTCCTATTGGCACACGTTGGGGCCTTTGCACATACATACACGCGCTAATCTGGGGCGTTTTAAAGGGAACTCGCGTCATGAAGTTTTCATCAAATGGTATGCATGCCTTTCCTCTTTCGTCCTTGTAAATACGTGTGGGGCGTACGGGCGCGCAGGCGACTATGTACAGGCGTAAGTATGTATAAACGCACGTACAAATGTAGGGATATATATATAAATATACGCATACACAATATGCATATGTTATATGTACATATGTGCTATATATACAGACGGCTTTAAAACAATTACGCGTTTGCATAGAAGCAATCGCGCACAGGCAGCAAGGTAAACTGTCTACCCGCGAAGGAATAAAACAGACACGCGTGCTTAAATTTTGTGCTACTCTTCACATACACTCATATATATAAAACTATATATATACATGCACCTCAGCATATATGCATAACAACATGCATAGTAAAATATGCATACAAAGGCCAATTCGATTTCTCAGGGGGACAATAAAAAGGAAATAAAATAGAATAAAATAGAATAAAATAGAATAGAATAAAATAGAATAAAATAGAATAGGATAAAATAAAATAGAATAAAATAGAATGGAATGAAATAGAATAAAATAGAATTAAATAAAATAATAGGGTGGGAAAAAACGCAAAATGAATATGAAGTTGGCCTTGAATTTATATGTTTTTAATTTTCACTATTTAATTCTTAATTGGTTAAGCTTAATTTCTCTACTAAACTACTCTCTGCTCTAGCACCTTGATTCTTCGGCTAAAGCATAGGCGCTCGGGCGTAGGCATACGCACGTAAAGTATACGTATGTAACGTATGTATTATATTATATGGATAAACCATAGTAATATAAATGTATGTGACGCGCGCGGAGTACTGAATGTACACGATACGGGCACATATCACATGCGCAATATGCTTACGGTTCGCGCGAAAGCTTATTAAACTAAGCATAAATTTCCCATGCGGATTCGGTCATGTGCATAGTATTCCTATATGCGACCCAAGTATGTATGCTATGCATATACGTTGCACGTACTTCTTTAAATTTGCGCTAAGTAAACCCTTTTGTACTCATTCCTCTTCGGAAAAACATCTAAGTATGTAAGTACATATGAATATATACATACATATATATACGAAACTAATGTTAAAAAATATTTTGAAAGTACAAAAAAATGAAACATGAAGTTTTTAAAAATACTCGAAAATTTGCAATAAAAAAACGAATTTAACTGTTTTCAACAAAGGAAAATTTTTTATTTTGTTTGGTTTGTTTGGTTTTGTTTTGTTTTGCTTTATTTTGTTTTGCTTTATTTTGTTTTTTATTTTGTTGCGTTTCGGTTTGTTTTGTTTTTTTTAACGTATTATTTTTTCCAGTTTTGAAATTATTTTTTTCGCTTCTCCTTTCCCATAATTAAATTCTACGAGCGGGTAAATAGAGTATCATAAAATATACCTTGCAAAGGGAAAACGTGCGTTCTGCCTAGGTACATATAGCAATCGATATATGTAGTAATGATGCTGTGGTGCGACGCAGTTAAGTGCTATGCATATAAATACATAATAATGAGGGTACCCCAAATGGCGGGTATCTAGTGGAGGGCACGCCGAACGAAAGCAGGGCCGGAAAATGGGGGCACCCCGGTAGCGTTGCGTAGAAAAAAAGCACCTACATAATATATGTATTATATAAATGTATGCGCAAAAGAGTGCAAACGTTGTATGCGCATATATAAATATATACGTGGAGCTGCCAAAGGGGCAAAGCGACCTTTTACTGTTTAAAAATTCGAAAGCGCAATGGGAATATGTTATTATTATATACTATGTATGTATTGTATATATGCCTATCCGCATAGAAATGAGCATTAAAAGAATGTACAAACATGCTTATTACATTATTTATATTTTATAAGCAGGGTGATGAGGGTTCCTTAGCGCCACCCATTTTTTCCCGTTTCCCCATATCAGTTTTTTCTCCTGCTTATTTTTCCCGTCCCTTTTTTTTGCCAACCCGCTTTTCACGCTTAAGCGAATAATCGCCTAAATGGTTGAAACTTTTTGAGTATAAAAAAATAAGGTTTCCCAGCAGCTACGCATTCTTTATATTTTTTCACCTCCTCTAACAAAGTTAAGAAAAAATAAATATAATAAAATGTCGTCCCCGTTTGCCAGTAATTTAACCCAATGTATGGGGCATATAATAACATGGCTTATAATAGGCACAAAAAGGTGAGTTTTTCTTTTTTCTTCCCCCCTTGTAATTAGGTTATTCTAATTGTATGTAAAAAGAAGGGCCTCTAATGGTCACTCTGTTCAGAGTTCATACTTAGTAAGGCATCACAACATAGTGGTAGGCACGCCTGTTCGCATGAGAATATAACGCCATCCCGCACCGGCATGACATGGTCTAGGTAAAAACGAAATACCCTTATGACAATCTTCCGTCGAGTGACGAAGCACTGTAAGAATTGCCATTTTTATAAGCGTACTCCTTCGTAACGTGCATATTACAAGAGGGGAACCCTCCCCCTTTCCGCTTATAACAGTTATTTATTTTTCATTTGTTTTAAACGGAATTGTCCTTCCCCCCAATGTTAGAAAGTGGATATGAGCCTCTATTTATATGTTAAAATGTTTGGCATGAATAAAGGTATAATACAAAATGGGTGAAATAATTTGAAAATGGGCCAGCCCGGCGGTCCTCTTAGCATGCGCGATGGAGAATGTAACAAATTAAGAATTGCCTAATCGATTGTGAAAACATTGTAAACCATCTGTATGCATGTATGTAGGCATCCTAATGGATCACATGCGCAGTCTTACCTTTGCAGCGTGGTTTTGCTTTTGTTTTTCCGTTTCCCCTACTTCTGGTTCACTCATTTAAGCAACATCACAGCGGAGTAACGCCACTTATTCCTTGGGTCAAAACTACTGAATAGATTAACGTCACTGTGCTATTGCGGGTAGAGGGGCGCGGCCGTGATAGGATTTCTCAGGCGGGGGAGATCACCCCGGAGAAGCGGTCATCCCCGTTTCCACCTTCGAAATATACGTCTTTGCACATTTGTACACGCATGCGTCTATATGTTTGTTTCGAACGACCTCTGTGCCATTAAACACTCATCGCCGACAGTGCTCCCTACGGTTGAAAGAACTTTTTCCTTTTCTTTACGCAATTGTCGCCGTGTTATGATAAATTGGACGTGCGAAGAAAGTTGAAAAGGTTTGAGGATAGGGAGACAGAAGAGGAGACCATATAAAGAGGTCTGCTTAAGGACCCATTCCTCGGACAGCCATAAAGATAGGCGGAAATGTAGTTGGATAAATAGGAAAAATCATAAGCATATACAAACAAAAAAAAAAAAACAGGAAAGTACGACATGTACGTAATTACTCCATTTGAAGTTAAAAACGCAACTGCAACTTCCTAAAAAGGGAAATCCACATTTTGCCCACATGCAATAAATGCAGAGATATTGTCTGTCGGTACGTACACTATTGTGCATACAAAAAAAAGAAAAAGGCATGGCACTTGGTGAAAAACATTCAGTTGCAATAAACGGGTGAATGTGTCACCCTTTTTTAAATAGATTTTTGAAGAAATGCTTTATCTTTTTGGTGCTTTTCTTTATGCTATTTTTATCCCCCAATTCATTGTCAGTACAATAACAATTATCCGCAGAATAATTTTTTTTTTTCCCATTTAAACTGCACATCCTTCCCACTGTAGATGTGTTATTCCGGCTGGATGCGCCATGTGAGTTTTTTCCAGATGATGAAACAGTGCCGTTTGCATAATTTTTATGTACCGCATATTTCTCATTGTGCAATTTACGAATGTCACTCAAGGCCTGCTGCTCTTGTTTATTCTTCTGATGAATAATTAGCAGTTTGTTATTTATGGGGGAAATATTATTTGATAATTTTTCCAGATACTTCTTCGGGTCTTCAAAGGACTTTTTCGAAATTTCACTTTCTTGTGATACTCTCTGTTCTATTTTTACTTTTCCATCCGATGGAAATATTTTTTCGTTACTCATTCGGATGCGTGGGACTTTCTTATTTATCATAATCATGATTATATTGATCGAAGTCAGGACAAATTCGAACAGTATGGACTCTTTGTCGGTAAAGGGATCTTCAAATTTCCAGATCATATCTACATAGTAAGGTGATGATGCGATAATATCTTCTCCCATTTGTTCGGGCCTTGCATTGGGGTCTTCACTCGGAAGGGAAATACCCACCCCGTAACTACTCGTATTAAAATTTAATATCTCAAATAACAATTTTGTTAAATTAAAAATTTCAAAATTTGTTAAAAAAGACGTTTTAATTTGACTGTTACTGAATTTTATAATTTTATATTTTTCCTCCTTGGAATTGTAACTTATATTGCTCAATAATTTGTATAGAACATTGAAAAAATTTTCGAAATGCTGTTCCTGTTCGCTTGGGACCACTTTTTTTACTCTATAATGACTAATCAGCTCCGATATGAGTCGGTCCAGGATGATTGTGATGTTGATTAGCATGTCTTCTCCTATTATGTAGAAGTTTTTCGATGATATGTTCCGTTTTATGTTATCGTTTTCTAGGAGGGACTTTCGGAAGAGGACTTCGAACAGCGTGGTGCTCGGCGCGTCGGCCGAGTTGGGTGTTTCCAATGCGTTGACCTTTTCGGAAATGTTCTTCCCTACTCCTTCGGCCTCGCCCATGAAGAGGTCTCCCGCACCACCACTATTTTCCGCCGCACACATCCCAGCGATCTTCTCTTTCTGTGCTTCGTTCGTTAAGGCATCTTCTCTCTTTTCCGCTTCGACCGTGCGGCTATTTGAGGCTCCCTTGGAGTTACAACGTTGCTTCCAATTGTTCTCCTCATTTGCTGCCCCATTGTTCTCCTTATTTGATGCCCCATTGTTCTCCTTATTTGATGCCCCCTTTTTATTATTGTTCCCCCTCCCATCTTTCTGACTATTTGTGATACTGCCTGCTCCCCGCGTGGTATCAACCCCCGAGCCGTTCTCCGCCCTCTTCTTTCCGTCTGTTCCTGTTTTCTTTAGCTCATTGCTACTTCCTTCAGGGGTTTCCCTCACAAACTTATCCTTTCCTCTACCGCTAACCTTATCAATGTGTAGAATTCCTGGGTCACGGGCTCGGTCTGAGCGTGTTGAATCTTTTGCAGCATTTTTGTCCTTTCCCGCGAGTCCTACCTTACTGGGGTGCGGTCTTTCATGTGCTACATCGATTGACTGATCCTTTTTCACGCCTACTTCCAATCTCGATGGTGAACTTTCTGCATTATGCCTCGAAGAATTATGCTGCTCTTTTTTATCGCCCTCTCTGCTATGGGCAGCATCTTCCATGTGCATCTTATCTGGGGGGGATCCCACATGGTCTTTTCTTTCCCCACCCTCTGCATAAAAAATCCTGATCAATTCCTCCACCGACTTATCATCTATTTGGAAATTTTCTTCCTCTTCCGAATGGCATGTTTCTGCCTTGCGAATCAAATACAACTTTGTTTTGTCTTCAATCCGTTTTGGATCAACATGTGGAAATTTTTCTCCTAACAGCTGTAGGCATTCTTCAAATTTCATCTTGTGCGTGGGGGTGAGGCTGCGTTTGGAGGAGAAGCAGCCTTAAGGGGGGGAAGCACCTTTCAGGGGGATAAGCAGCCTTCAAGGGGAGGGGTTTATAACTTCTTAATTCGTGACAAGCAAATTATTTCTACATATGAGGGCGTGCACATATAGGTGCATGAGCCTTGTGGAGATTTCTTTAACGTCAGTGCGCCCTCCCCCTCCCGCCGTGAGTTACTTAATCTGTATTTGTTTGGTTATGTAGCCATTAAGCGTTCGAAACTTGGTCAAGTCAGGCCGAACAAAGACATACATACTCATGTACGCGCAAAGGTACGTGAGGGAAAAGGCCAGCTTAATTATTTTCTTGTTGTACGTTTTCGCATAGGACAGAAGTACAAAGTGGAAAAGAACTATTACCAGGGGGTTATACAATTTTATAAATTTCAAAGCGGAAAAAAGGGAGTAAAGGGTTGGGTTAATATTCTTTCCTTGCAGGAAAACGAGGTCCGACATGTTAAGATAATTTACGTTGGGCTAAATAAATTCATCTTCATGTGCACACTGTGCTCGTCCCATATGTCCTGGCTTATTTGCATACGTTATATTATTTTAATCTTTGGAGAATTTACTGAAGAAAGGGGTCTCACAAAATGTCAGCGCAGCTTTACGTACTTATGCGTTACTGATAAGAACTTTGGACTTTTCTTTTTTTCTTCTCAGAAAAGTTCACCATATAGAAATAATGCTTACAGGGGGATTTAACACAAGAAATAAAAAATACTAATTAAATAAGAAAAATCAAGAAAAAATAAAGTTATTTTCATCCTTCCTTACGAATGTCAACAAGTGCTATAAATCCTATATTTATAATCTTACATTTATTTACGTATAGAAATTTTGTCCTGAAAATAATTTCTTTCTTTGTAAAATTTCAAGGTTATTCAAAAAATATATGTTACTAGCGCATCGTTAAAATTGTCATATATTACACCGTACTTTTTTTTTTTTTTTCTAATGTTTTTCATTTTTTTCATTTTTTTGAAACTCCTGTAGGATTATCCACAGGGTCGAAAGCAGATATGTTTTGACCCGCAGGGTGCCGCATATGGATAAAGTGGAAGGGAAAAAAAAGATGTGGGACATGTTATAAGGAGGCAGCAATTGTATTACTTATGTGCGCACTTTTGGGGGAGCTTCCTCTTTAGTAAGGGCACCCTTTTAACATGACGAATAATTTGCCCCCAGTGGTGCTTTTGCGCTGAAAAAAAAATTGGGCTTAGATAAAATCCTGAGCATAAAAAAATGGAACTTCTTCAGCTCAGTTAAAAGCTTTTGTTCCTGTCTGTATAAAATTGGAAAAAAAAAGAGAAAAAAAAAAAAAAAAAAAAGAAAGAAAAAAAAAAGCATACAAATGTAATCTTACGCTTTGTACACAATTGAGCAACTGAGCTCTTTGCAAATAATGGGGACTGCGAGAATGCGCCGCTTTTTCTGAGTAAAAATTTAACGAAACTGCTTTCGCCAAATTAAAAAGTAAGATGAGTCAATCGCACGGATCTCCATAACACGAGTTCAGAAATCTAACACCCCCCTGGGGTGTTCACTTTTATGCAGCTCCCTACTATGTTTATACATCTGCCGTTCCAAGCATACGTGAAAAAGGAGGAACATTGCGTTCTCCATAAGAAAGAAAGAAAAAAAAAAAGTATACATATAATTTGTGCGTTTATATAGATACATTGTAACCATGTCACCTTCGTCGCAGCGGACACATATGCCGAAAGAAGAAACATCGGTGGAGCGACCCATGAAAACGTTCCAATTGTCAGATAAACATACCAAGTCGCGAAACAAACTGAATAGGATACCTTAATGAGCCTACGTGACCTCCATGGAAGGATGGAATACGCATATGAACCATACCAAACAGTTCCATAGATAGGGGGTTGCCACATAGCCCACGCCGCACTGTACGCTTATTATTGCCCAGTTATGAACACGCTTAATCCCCCCCCATGTATCCACGTGCAAATAGCACCCATGTCTTTTGCTTGAAGTTTCAGTTTAATGATGAACGGAACATTTTAACTGCCTCTGTTTTTTCCAGAGGGACATCGTAAAGTGATTAATCAATTTGCTCTTAACAGTAAGCTGCTCCTTTTGGTAACTCTCTTCCGGGTCGTAAACGTAGCGTTACAGGTCTGTGCGTAAGGGGACGACCAGAACAAAACGAGATTCCCTCCCGTCGATTTAGCAACGAGCAACTGGCCACTCAGAAAACAAAGTGACCCGCCCACAGATCGCCAAACCTATCGCTCAATCCCTTTGCACAAAATGGAGGAACTCCAAAGCGAATTCGAAAAAATGAAAATAAAGTCAGACGCCGAGGAAGAAGAACAGGAAGGAGAAGAATCTGGACAGGAAAAAATATCCCAAAGAAAGCTCAGATACTTAAAAATGAAAGATAAGAAGGAAGAAAAAAAGCGAAAGAAGCAAGGCACGAAAGGTGCAGGTAATAAAAACGTCGTAGAGAATAATAGCAAAGTTAAAAGTAATGACTCCAAGGATGAACAGAAAAATGGCGACACTACTCGAGATGACGAAAATGCAAATGACGTTTCGAATAATTTAAATGAAAATAATGAGGAGGATCACAACGCTCTGTCAGAAAGTCCCCTGAGAAATAAGGAAACGAAATATGAGCCCGTCCTCGTGGATTACTGTAAAGGTGTGCCCTGCGTGCACGTGAATGCCCAAACAGGGGTGTAAAGACATGCCCAGCTGCGCCTCCCATATGTATTAGCTGTAAGGTACATTTTTGCGTCTTCTTTTTTTCCCCCTATAAGGGGACCCGAAAAATTAAAATTTTCCTTTTTTTTCTTTCGCTTTCTCCATATGCAGTTTGCGGCATGCCCTACGAATACTGCGAGTACGGAAACTCCTTCAGTCAGTGCAAGGAGGAGAACAAGGAGAAGTACAACTATGACATTGTAAAGGGAGACGGGGAAATGAGCAACATGCGACAGTCGAAGAAGACCCCGCAGAATGTAATACAAACACCAGCAGCCACGGGCGAAGCAGCGTGTGAAGAGTGGCGTGCAAAGTGACGTACAACGCACTGTTGTATATTTATTTCCCATATGACTGCATGTAGTGGACAGTGTTTCCTTCATCGTACCTGCTGCTGTTGTAGCTGCTTCTTTCGGCGTCAGTGCTGGCAACTACGCAGGGCACTTCATATCCTCTCCCATTTCCACCCCTCCTGTTTTTCTTCCCCTTTAGACGACTGAAAAAATTACCATACAAAAGATCACGCGGGCACGAAAAAAAGTTGTTATCGTTGTCGTGGGGTTACATACGTATGTCAAATTGGACAAAATGGCAAAAATATTTTCGCGCTTCTATGCGTGCGGGGCGTCGGTTATCAAGGGGACAAATGGGGCCCCTGACCAGATAGACATACAGGTATGTCATCTCTCTTCTTGCGCGTGAATAATGCGTACGTGCATAAATGCATTCAGGTGTTCGGCATATATGTGCCCTTTTTTTCCACTGATGTGCCCAATTGTTGTGTGAAGCGTACCCCCACGTGGTTCAATTTTTATCAATTCTTCCCTTATCCTCCTCTCAGGGAAATGTAGAACATAACATTGTCGAAGTCATAATGAAGAACTGCCCCGAAATTCCAGAAGGCGTCTTCGTAACGTTGCCCCCCAAGTAGGTGCATAAATGAGGGCATAGGTTTTAGGACTTGTATTCAACTTTCCCCTTACCACGAGGAAAAGACGTACACTTATATGCTCCTTTGGATGTATGAGGTGATGAATACGTTTGGCAGTACGATGCGCGTTTGGGTCCTCTGGGGAACTGCTCTCTGGAACCGTTCTGTGGAACCGTTCTGTGAAACCGCTCTGCTTATGATACCATGATAATTTGGCTGTCTACTTCGCGGAACTGCTTCAATCGTCGGGTAGCCGCGAAAAAAATGTGGACGCATCCCCCAGTGAATATCCCCCCAACGATGCTACTCTGCATGTGTGTTACCCAACATAGTGACGTTTCTGAGCAATCAGGGTGGCCCTCATTATTCTCATTAATTGTGCTTGTGTGCGTACGTCTCTATATAGAAAAGCTTCTACCCATGTTAGCTAATTTGAATGGGGCTGCAGTTCACCTTTTCCAGCGCTTCCAATTCTTTATTTTTATTTTCCCGGAGGAACCTTTGCCTCCAAAATTTTTCTTATTGACTTTTTTCTTTTCGAAAATGTCTCCCTCCTCCTGATCAGTTATTTGTTCAATATTTTCTCTTTCATTCCTATCCTTTGCATATTGCGTTTCTAAGAACTGCAAAATTTTATAGTCGTAATTATCGTACACTATTTGGTCATAATTTTCTTGATTTTGATTTTTTTCCTCTTCCTGTGCGTCTGCATATGGGTGGCCTTTCTCACGTTCGTTATGGAGGGAGTTGTTCGCGGTGTCGTTCTGAGCAGTACCACAAACAGCCCTGCTGCGTTGGGGATAATGGATTAGCTGCTGCTGCGGATTCTGTTGCTGCGGATGCTGCGGACGCTTATGTCCATGCTGGTCGGCTGGATGGTTACCCCCTCTGAGCGCTCTGCTCTCGCGCGGGTTAACCATGTGGAGCGTGTCAAAGGAATGCAAAATGAAGTGATAAAAGTTCTGTATAAAATCCTGCACATTGTAAAAGGTAAAGACATTCTGGTAATCAAATATGTAGACAACTTTGTGGACATTAGTTAAATTTTTGATCATGTAAAAATCGTGAGTTGTCAAAATGTAATTGCCTTGATAAATATAATTTAGAAAATTTAAGAGAAGATTTTTTAAGTAAATATCTAAATTGTTATTTATTTCGTCGAGGAGAAGCAAATTTGATTTTTTTAAAAATAACGAAAGGAATAGTATTCGTACTTTTTCCCCTCCACTTTTATCTTTCATGCATGTGGAGCTATCGATGTAGAATATTTTAAGCAGGGCTTTTATTTTCTCCTGAATGTTGGTCACGTCCTGTTCGTTGCAGAACGGCTTGGTTTTGTTTAGAACGTAGAAAAAGAAGTGCTCCTTGGAGGGGGAGATAGAAATGGCATTGTCAAAATCCCCCCCGTCATAATTTTCCATAGCGACATCGTCTACGCGGTCCACATCCATACCGTCGTCGAAGTGAACTCCTTTGTAATTCACTTTCTCAATTAGGTACCTAAAATATTCGTTGATTTCTAGGTTCAATTTTTTAATCATATTTTGCTCAAAGTAGGTCAAGAGAACGTTGTCGAAGTTGCAGTGTATGGTGCCTTCGAAGTTTTCCATTTTGTCTTTTGTTGGACTTGCCCTGTTGCTTGGTTCTCCACCATGCAGGTAGGCATCTCCCTCTGGATATTCCTCCTCATCCTCGCTATCTCCGTAGGCATATGCGCTTCTTCTATGTCTACCTGCTTCCGACCGCATCTGAAAGTTGTACCTATTCGTCAATATCTTAAAAAGGGTGGATTTTCCAATTCCATTTTTTCCCAAGAGGAGAACATTTTCTCCGCTGTTTATTGTTAGATTGAGGTTTTTAAAGATGTATTTTTTTTTTTTTTTTTTTCTATCCCAAAAGTAGAAGGAGAAGTTGTCGAATTCGTAGAGTGAGATGTTATTCTTTGCGTACCTTTCGCCTGTTTCTATCAGCTCGTTGTTTTTTATTTTTTTGCTCATATCGATGAGGATGTTCTTATTCATGTTCCCTTCTATGTCCTTCATTTTGTTGTAGACGAAGGATTCCACGCCTTCTTCCTCTTGTGTGGTGCACTCATCGGCGTAGGGAGCGGTATGCTCAGCGGATTTCTCTTCGATGTTTTCACCATTGGAATTCCCCTCAGCAGTGTCACGTGACATGCGGCCGTGATTTTCCCTTCCCTCTTCTACTCCGCCCTCACTGGGGACCCTCTTTCCCGTCCCCTTCTCACTCTTCCTGCTATATATCAAATTATAGTACATGTACTGATAATTGAGCGTGCTATCAAAAAGAGTAGAGTACACATTTTGATATAATTTAAATTCTTCTTCTTTTCTTCTTAAAGATTGATGCATGAATTCGTTTTTTTTTTTTTTCTTGACTTGATCTATGGCAGCACTTAGTTGGTCCATAATTTTTTTCAATTCTTCTTTTTTTTTCCTCCTATTGTCAAAGAGTATCTTCATACTGTGTAAGTATTGTGTGTAATTTCCTTTAAAAAAGGTAATGTTCGAATTGTGTTCATTTTTTCTCTGTAGTTCATGTGCAACATCAGAGTGAATAGCTTGATGTCCACTTCGGCTTATCCTTTTTAATAATGCCATGTTGTTAAAATCGATGTCATGTCCATAAATTTTGTTAAAATCTAAAATTCGATTGCACAATTTGCTCACTAGGAAGAAATCATGGCTAGCCAAAACGATGCCGATTTCTTTATACTTGAGAGAATAGTGAAAAATGTTCATAACGAAGAAGATGTTAAATATGTCCAGGTTGTTATTTATTTCGTCTATTAGCAGAAGTTTGGCATTGCTCAGGAGAAGCAGTAGGAGGTACACTCGGATAATGTAGCCGTTGCTCAAATTGCTCAGTTTTATATGAAGCAAATTTTTTAAATTCAAAATGTTGAGGTATTTATGGAAATTCATTTTTACTTGGTTTATCTCTTTGAAGACATTCTCCTTTTCGTGTATGTACAGTTTTAGTACCATTTGGAAAAGTTTGGACTGCTCGAAGGGTTCCGCCTGCTCGTTGGTCGATAGTCTCCTCGCTTTCGTTTCTACGGAGTCGATACTGTTAACGTTATTTTTCGTGATGTGGCTCCCTGGCCTTAGAGAGATCTCTTTCCCATTTGGGCTATCATCCGCAGGATATTTCTCAGTACCCCTCCCAGTGACACATCGATTGGACCTTTCGCCATCATCCCCCACAGCAAACCTTTGGACAGCGTCCAAATTTCTGTACCGACTGATCTCCCTTTCGATATAATTTAACACCTCATATTTGTCTAAAATGGGTTGATAAAAGTTTAGTACCTTTTCAAACACCGTCAAATTGTTCTTTTCCAGAAGGTGAATATTCTGCTTGAAATAAAAGATGCCGTTTTTAAAAAAAAGATCATTGTCGTTGCCTCTTTTTTTCTTATTGCTCTTCTCAAAATAGGACACATCTCTATTTTTTATAATCGATGAAAGTTGGGACAACTCGAGAGAATTCCTTCTCATGTGGTGCAAAATTTTGTAAAGAAAGTCGAATTTATTTTTCTTCACCATGGCGTGCATGTTCTCCTCCGTTAGGGTAAAATTTGTCACCCCTTCGTTGGAAACTTTGTTATTTATCATTACACTTTTGTTGCTGTTATCTGAATGGTCAAAAATTAGGTTTAAGAGTGACGTTTTTCCACAGCCATTGTTGCCTATAAGTCCGACACACTCCGATTTGTGCAGCTGAAAATTCAAATTGGTTATAAGTTTCTTGCTACTAATTTCGTAGTTCAAATTGTGGACGGTTAGGATCACTTTGTTTTCTTCCTTCTCCTCGTAGTGTTTCTCCAGCACGTTGTAGATGTTCATGTTATATTTCGGAGACAGCATCCGGTCCTCTTCGTCTCCCTCCGCGTTCAGGAGTTTCTCGTACGCCGCAAGGCGCTCCTCGCGGGCTATGTCGTCCGTTTGTTCATCTTCTACTGCATCATCTTTGTCGTCTTCTTCTACATCGTCTTCGTCGTCTGCTACTGCATCGTCTTCGTCGTCTTCTTCTACATCGTCTTCGTCGTCTGCTACTGCATCCTCTTCATGCCCATACTTCGCTCTCTTGCTGCGCCCACCTAGCAGGGCTTGACCCCGCCTCTCACCCCCAACGCGCAGTGGTCCCCTGCCCCCGAATGTTTCCCTCTTCAAATGGTAGACATGATAATCACGCGCGACATTCGCTGCATGCAAATTGTTTAAAAAGGAACTTTGATTTTTATATTTACTGATTTGTAAACCTTTGCAGCGATGAACGTAACACCATGTCAGGAGGGAAAGAAGGAATACAACGAACATGTTATACCATAGTGTAGCACGTGGGGGGCGACAAGGAAGGCAGAAGGAGAGGAAAAAAACAAAAAAAAAGGAACGCCTCAAAAATGGGAAAACTCCTCAAAGTGGGAACCTCCCTCAAAACAAGGACAAATAAAAAAACAAGTCAATGGTAAAAAAAGTTAGTCTAACTGTTGCTGCTGCAACGAAAAAAAAAAAAAACATTCCGCAGAGCGCTTTGGAAGAATTGCTCTCTATCTAATTGTCACTTCGGAGGGGTTGAAAGAAGAAAAAATGAATGACACGAATGAATAGGAAAAAGAAAAAAATAAAATAAAATGGCGAATAGCTTCTTCCCGTTCAAGCGTGCAGCTGGAAGAGGCATTTCCTGAAGCGAGGAACAAGGTCGAAGGAGGAACGATAGGTTCGTACGTCGCTCGATAAAACGGCAGTGTGGCTGGATGCAGATATGTATATAAATAAATATATATTGTTTTTTTTTCTTTTTCTTTTTTTTGTTGTTATTTTTTCTTTTTTTTGTTTTTTTTTTTGTGCTTAGTTGCATGCTTGCTTTTGCCATGAAATATTCCTGTCCCAGCCGCCCCTTTGCACACTTATTTGGATACACTTTTGTTCTCATTGTTCCTGCCTACTGCGGAAGGAACATTTGCCCAGGCATCGCAAGATAGAAGAAACATCTATGAGAAGCGTCTGTTTAGTTATGTAGTGCAAGAAAAATTGAAGAAAAAAAAAATAGGAGGCACAAAAGATCATTTCCTTTATTCATCGGAATAACAATTTTTTCGTGCTTCACTTTTTGTTGTCCATTCATAGGTGTACACCATGCGTTATGTATAGGATGATGGGCAGTTTAGACAAATAAGAGAGCCCCTTTGCAGAAGTGAAAAATTAGCAAGTGTTCGTTCTGCGTCTGCTGTTCCCCGCGTGTGATTTTGCCCGCACCTTTTCAGCTTTTTATAAACAAAACGTTTGCCATTAGGGGCGGTCCGCGACACAGAAAAGGTTTGCCGCAATTTTTCCGTCTGTGCGCTGTCCCCGTGTTGCCCCTGTGCCGCCTCTGCGCTTCCCCTGTACCGCCTCTGCACCGTCTGACCCCCCGAATGAACGTCGCGCTCATCTTCGGCATCACCGGGCAGGATGGCTCGTACCTGAGCGAGCTGCTGCTGGAGAAGGGGTACATCGTACATGGGGTCATTCGCAGGTGCAGCTCATTTAACACCAAAAGGATAGATCACATTTTTGATCAGCTCCATTTGCATTATGGTGATGTCCTAGACAGCAGCAGTATCTGCAATTTGATAAGGGAAATAAAACCTACAGAAATTTATAACTTAGCTGCACAGAGCCATGTAAAGGTTAGTTTCGAATTGCCCGTCTACACAGCCGAAACCACGGCAGTAGGAACCTTACGCATACTGGAAGCAATAAAAATTTCGAAGCTACCCAATATAAAATTTTATAATGCTTCTACCTCGGAGTTGTATGGATGCTGCACTGATGATATACAACAGGAATGCACTCCATTTAATCCTGTCTCCCCTTACGCAATTGCAAAATTGTATGCTCATTACATAACGATATGTTACAGAAAAGCGTATCAAATGTTCTGTGTGAATGGAATTCTGTTTAATCATGAAAGCCCAAGGAGAGGGGAAACCTTCGTAACTCGCAAAATTACCAGGGGGGTAGCAAACATCTGCAAAAATAAGCAAGACACCATAGTATTAGGGGATCTTTCTGCCTACCGAGATTGGGGACATGCAAAGGATTATGTCCGTGCTATGTATCTAATGCTACAACAGGATGAGCCTGACGACTTTGTCATAAGCTCAAATGAAAAACATACGGTGAAGGAATTTTGCGAAATTTCATTTTCCTTCGTTGGCATTTTTTTAAAATGGAAAGGAACGGGCTTTCAAGAGATCGGGGTCGACCAACACGATCGCGTGCTTATTAGAAAAGACGCCAAATATTATCGAGAGTGCGATGTGTTCCATTTGCATGGCGATTCTTCTAAGGCCCGCCAAGTGCTGCAGTGGGCTCCGACGTATTCCTTCTTTCAACTCATTTATGAGATGCTCAGATATGACTTCGAGCAGTGGAGTCTGCCTATTGATAATTTCGACACGTGTGTCCGCAGGTACGAGCTTTACCGGAGTGCGGCTAAGAAGTAGCAACACCGTGGTGGTGGTGGTGGGCAGCTATCATCACCACACCTGGCATATGCGTCCCTCCCCCGATGGGGCGTGTACCTTCCAATTATTTGTTACCAACAAAGTTGGGCTCCCTCCCAAGTTATTTTTTTTTTTGTCTACATCGAACCTTTTGCACATTTCACACTGCAATTTGTGTGTTTATGGGCTTCCTTTTCTGTCAGCCTGCTGAACATGTGCAATTGTGTGGCCCCTACTAATGAGTCCCACATGCCTAGTACGTAATTTTTTTTCCCCTCAATTGTATAGCATAATTGCAATGCTTATGTGAAATGGTTAAAGTGGTTACGTTACTACGACGTGGGTGAAATAAAATATATACACATTAGCATACAGGCAAAAAGGAAAGAAAAAGAAAAAAAAATAAAGTGAACATTAAAATAAAGTAGAAATTAACATAAAGTGAACAATAAAATGAAGTAGAATTATCTGTACGATTTCTGGTATCTCGCGCGAGCACCCTTTCCACCGAATTTCTTCGGTTCACATCTTCTTGTGTCTCCAACAAGCAGCGTCCTGTCGTACCTTAATAAAGCATCCTTTAATTCTTTCTTCGTAGATTCGTCGACATATTTCTGGTAATATGAAATCACTCCTTTTCCAATGGCTTGTCTGATTGCGTAAATTTGGGCGGTTTGACCACCTCCTTTAACTCGGATACGAATGTCCAAGTTTTTTAATTTTGCTGATCCGATTAACCATAAGGGTTCGTACACTTTAGTTCTCAATATGTAGGGCTCCACTAAGTCAAGATTTTTTCCGTTCAATTTGATTAGACCCTTTCCATTGGTCACGGTTGCCACGGCAACGGATGTTTTCTGTAGAGATAGGCAGAGGGAAAAAAGGAATTCCATGTGGAGATTCTACGGAGCTGGTGGTTTATCTATGGGGTCGGAGGAGGAAAAAATCACACCAAAACGACAAGGCACAATGCCTCGATTGCTGGCGTGCTGATATGTTATGCCAACTGTCATGGGTAGCTCAGGGGGGGGGCCAATTTGAAGAGAGGATGAGAAAATCCATTACGCGATTTTTTCTTATCCTCCTTGGTAGAGACGTGGCAAAAAATGAACAATTATGTAGGGCGGCTTATATCACTTCACCCTGTCAACCTTGAAATGAAGCGCGAAAAAAGGACACCACTTCATTAACCCATATGGTATTATTTGGCCAAGCGTAACGGTGCCGCAGAAACAGTTTATTGGCAAAGGGAGAGTTGTACACAGAAGCTGGGATTCTCATATGCAGGTTGGGACTCAGTATAGGCAGCTAAATGGGTCGAAAAATCGGTGTGTGCCCCTCTCTCCCCTTGGCTATTTCCTCTGTTTCGCAACAACTCGGGTTGACTTTTATGTTTTTTTTTTTTTCCTTTTTTCTTTTTTCCTCCTTTTACACTCCTTGTGGTACCTTTTTTCCAAAGGTTTGGACTCTCTTCACTTTAATCGTCATTTTTTTCTGTAACGGGAATGGCAAAACAGGTGAAGTAAAATTTAACACAGGGTGAATCGTGCATTGGGGGTTGGGAGAAGCAAACCAACGACGCATGTTTCGCAGGCTGCACGAGAGGCTTACATCATAACGAGTACATATGGCCACGTAAGTGCGTCACGACGTCGGCATTAGGACCAAACATGACAAATAACGCAGTAAGTTTCAAATTGTGCCACTTTGTCACTAATTTGCAGGCTGCGCTTCTTACCGTGAAAGGGTGACTTAATGGGGGGTTAAAACTCAAAATTTAAGGGAAGAAAATTTTTATCTCCTCAAAGGAAAAGTTGTATTCTCCTCAAAATAGTGGTACATAGATGTATCATCCCTTTTTTGTTCATTTGATTTATTGCATAATTACTTTTGCGGTTTGTTTATTTATTTATTTATTTTTTTTTTTTTACATATGCTTTTTTTAAAAGAACGAGAGAGGGGAATATTAAGAAGACGAGCCATGCCAATTTAAGAGCATATGCATATTTAATTTTTACGTCCTTACAAAAATGGTGTACATATATTTTACGCCCGGCTCGTTAAAAAACGGTATGAGATTCCCACAATGCAATGCGATATATGTTTATACTTCTATTTGAAAAACCGCGTTGACGCTTTTCAGAAACCCGAGATATACATATAAATCACTTAAGTATCGTCACGTGCTGCACGTAAATAATGAAGTATGCGGCGTGTACGTGAAAACGCACAACAGTTTTATTTTGCTGGTTAGGCTGATACAAGCGCGTTTTTTTTTTTTTTTAAACCGTTTTCCATTCCATATGTAAAAATAATTGTTCAGCCCATGAGGTGCGCCTTAAAAATAACGCCATCCCCACACGGAGCAGTAACATATAACATATTATAATACAATTAAAATGCTGTGCGCGACGCTACAGGGCAATTATTTCTTGAAGGGAACGCGCGCTGCTACCTTTTGGCGCCCCACTTTAATCACTCCAAAGAAGGAAAAAGGGACCCACCCTGCCTAGAAGTACATATGGAAAGGTGCTATGTATAATGCAAAACGTCATGGCCCTCTTTTTCCGAAAGCAGCAAAAAACTGCGCAATATTTTTATACGTATTCTGTTCACAAAAAATATTCGTTCGCTCATTTGCGCTGTAGCACTTAAGGGAAGAAGCGGCACTCACACGTGAAGAACAAAATATGGTCGTGCAAAACGAATAATAGTTATTGTCGCGTGATATTTTTCATTTTAACTATTCTTGCAATTTTATAAGATCAGAGAAAGGTATCATTTTTTTTTTCTTTTTTTCCATCGTTTCGCGGCATCAGAATTTTGTTGCTTCGTAACCCCAGCGATTTATTTACCGCTCAGTACATTTCTCTACAACTGTTCCCTACCCCTTGCTGTTTTTAAATTCTCCCGCGACGCAGTTTTAAGTAAAGGTAAAATCTTTTATGAGGAGATGTAAAGCAATGCCAAGTTGAAGCGATTAAAAGCGCATACCATCGTGCGATGAGGTACCCCGCGGGTGTTACATGGATGCTGTGCGAATGCTTCGTCAAATGAGAGCGTTTCAGTCAGCCGAATGGGCAACGAGGTCCCCGAAAAGCCCTTTCAATTTCGAGAGATGTAAAGCGAGGCACACATTACGCGCTTTTCACGGGGGAGAGATAACAGCACGGCATTTACCTTTTCCGCGCTGTTCATGGAGAGATGCGCAAAAGAGCGCGCATAAATAAGGATGAAACGTTTGCGAACGGCACATGTGTGCCTGTGCAGCGTTGTACGCGGCAAGAAAGAGTAGAACGGCGCGATCACCTCGCGAATGCACAAGTGTCCCTGTAGAATAGCAAATATTTTCACATAGTGCTTCACTTTTTTTTCCCCCCAAGTCATCACATTTTTTCTTTTTTCACCTCCGCACCGCTCAGCGAGTAACTTGCCAAAATGGTGTCACACAACAACGTATTGCCAAATGTTCACCTGCACAAATGGTGGCAAAGGTATGTCAGAGTAAATTTCAGTAAAAATATAAAAAAGAAAAAAAGAAGATTGTTAAGGGAAAAGAGAAGAAAGGCAAATGCAGGAACCCCCATTGAAAAATTGCACCCCATAGTGCAGTGCCCAACTCAAAGGTACAATTTCAGATCCAGACTTGGAAGAGGTTTCACCCTCGAGGAATTGAAGGTACGTATTTTATATGTACCACGAAATGGTGATGCGTATAGTTTGCTGTGCACATCGCACACCAGTTGCCTTTATCCCGTTCTATACAGTCATGTAATGAATGAGTTTAAAAATTTTTTACTTTTATCGACGCCCTTTTTATTAACCCCCTATCCTAATGCTAATTACGCCTCTTGTATACTTTCCCCACGTTGTGCACCTCTATAGGGAGCCAAGTTAAATCCCCTTGCAGCCCAGAGCATAGGAATCTGTGTGGATAAAAGGAGAAAAAATAGATGCGAAGAAACATTAAAGAAAAACATCGAAAGATTGGAGAAATATAAAGAATGCCTAGTTATGATCCCCTTGAAGAATAGGAAAACTAAAAAGGGCATTGGAGGAATACCAGCGGACACGAGCAAAGAAGTAGTTAAAGAATTAAGAAAGAAGAAACAATTACGTAGTATATTCAAGAAGGAAAGAAACACTAAGCCGTTCTTTGAGTCCATTGAGGTGTCCAAGATAGACAAATCCTACTTGGCATATAAAACATTACGTAGAGCTAAACTAACCGAAAGAAGAAAGAACAAACAGCAACAGAGAAAAGACATAAAGAGAAAGTCCAAGGATAATTGATAGATATGTCTACATGCAGAAATTGCAAGAAAAAAAGAGGAAACAGACAAAACGGCCACACAGAAATATGCATGTTGTTGTTTATTTGTTCAGTTATATCTCACGTATAACATCCTTTGCAACACGTCCCCAGCTGGTATAGAATCAAATTTTTAATACCTTTTTTATTTTATATTTTTCTCTTTTTTTTTACACCTGCGTAAGCAGCTAAGAGTTTAACGAAAAAAAAAAAAAAGAAAAAAACATAACAAAACAAAACAAAACGAAACACGTATATAACCTTTTTTCACACTTTGGAAGCTCTTTTTTTAATTAAAAGAAAAGGTACACCCCATGTGTATGTAAATTTGAATACATCTTTACATATACGTAGGCTCTCACGAATGGGTAACTTCACAGAGGGGGAATTATCCCTCCGCTGCGCTTTAATAGGAACAGCAGCGTTAATGGTAATACTTTAAAAATGGGAGGCAGGGTAATGCCGTCAAAAAGGGATAACGCAGCTGCGCCCGTATAAATTTGTGCAAAAAAAAAAAAAAAATGATACAAATGGTACAAATGGCATATAAAAAAAGTGTGGAGCGGTGGATACACACTTCCCCACACAAATGTGGCATATACCTCCATAAGTGTCAAGCACAAAATTAGGCTTCTTTCAAAATGAGTTAATCGGTTTGCCAAATAAAAAAGCGGAAAATCGTTCGGGCTCCTTACCAAAGGGTTTTTAAAAGCTGTTCCTTGACAGGCTTCTATGAACGCTCCAGTTCCCTTAAATGGCGCAAAAAGGCGATGGCACAATGTGGGGCAGGCATAGAAACACATAACAGCAACCTTTTCATGAAGGTTGAAAAAACAGGGGAAAATGGTCTACCCCGCAAACCCCTCTTAAGAAAAACAGCTTACTGCATAATCATGGAAATGTTCTCCTCAACTTTTAACTGAATGAACAGGTTCTTCAAAAATCGCTTGCATTTGAGCAGCGTTACTAAAAAGGGGAAAAAAAAAAATAGAATAAAATAGAATAAAAAAAAATAAAATAAAAAAACAATGTAGGCACAAAAGTTCCACTTAGAGATGGGTGCCACTTATGCGTGAACACGTTGGATCTACTACCCATCCGGTGCTTTTGTGAATATGTTGCTTCCATCAGAAGCGAATATAAATATTGCTCCTGAAATAGCACAGCTAAAAGGATCCCTCTGCGCGTCCTACCTCCAATGTATAGAATTTGAACGTCCAGGTAATCATCACACAGGGTTACAAATTGCGCCAAAAGAGAAATGTCTTGTTTGAACCTCTAAAAAGGGGGGAAGCAACATGCTCCATGCTTATACTCGCAGTGATTATTTTATGTCGTTGCGGAAGTAGCATTTTAACTTTAAATTTTTAGCTTTTTTTTTTTTTCTTTTTTTTTCCTTAATTTGATCATTTGTCCAGCGGGCACATGTACTCACATTACTAGTTCGGATGATAAAAAGTCGAAGCCTCAAATTTGCGAAGATGACTAAGAGGGGGAAAGAAGACAAAATGGGAAAGTGAATAATCGTGGGGGCTCAATCTGCAAGTTATTAGCGCTTTCGCAGGTAAGTTGATTTTCGCATTACTTCTACTTCCTCAATGTATGATATATATTTTTTTTTTTTTTTTACCGACGAAGCGAGAAAAAATTAAGCTTTTGTATATCTTCCCATACAGCGTTGTTGCTTTCCTATCGAATTCCTACAGGAAGGGGTCATTTTAAGGTAGGAGCAGATCTGGGTGAGTGGCCGCCACAATGTTCTAAACACACGGGAGGATATCATTTTGATTTTTGCGCACTTGTGTACTGCCACGTATGTATGCACATACGGCTATGTGATAGACACACAGTGGAGCAGTGTGTGGAGACCTGTCTGTGCTGGGACAGATAAAAGCTCAGTCATACTTCCTTAATCATAACGTTCAGCGGCATGCTTGAACTTTCGAGAATTTTAAAAATTTCCTCCTCTTGCTTTTTGGTGACCACTCCCCTTTTTTTCCCACAATAGAATTTACACAGAATCCAGATGTAGTCTTTCCTTGCCATTTTGAGGTAAGCAGTGGAGCGCCTTGAGTATGTCTCGATTCGTCACGGAGTGTGTGTTTGTGTTTTCCGGGCGAGGCACAACTTCCACGGGTGTTGCCGTGGTGCCGATTAATACGCGCGAGAAGTTATATATGTATATATAAATATATATGTGTATATATGAATATATATATGTATATATAAACATATTTGTACGCAGGCAAGCAACCACCCGCTCGGAGGCATCCATTAGCACAAACACGTTCATAACATACGTGCATATATACTCACGTGCGTGGCGAGAAATAACAAATTCCTGAAGCGGCCAAAATGCAGCGATTTATCTAAGCAAAACGACATTGCTACTATTCCGATCTGCGCATTAAAAGCTCACATCCCCCTTGCACCTTTGCTCATTTGTGTTCGCATTGGAGATGGAGTAATCTTATCATATGCACGTTTATAGAAACATGCACAAGGAGTATATAAAAATGAAGAGTAAAAAAAATAATTACTCCCCGTACAACAATTGCAACATTTTTTTTAAAAGAACTAGTTCCATTTAAAAAAATGAAGAAGCTTCCACAAAAATTTACCTCCCATTAGCGAAGTTTATTCTTTTTTATTTTATTGTTTTTTTTTGTGACCCCTTTAAAAAATAGGCCCACAATTGATATGTGCTGTTCGCTTATTTTTTTTTTCGCTATCAATAGGACCGCCCCCCCTTTTTTTTGAAATGTTCGCATTTGAAGGGGGGGCTGCTTTCCTCAGAAGGAATGCAGCATACGTGTAAAAAAAAAAAAAAAAGAAACATGCAAGTCGGGGGTAAACTTGTTAAATACACGTAAACCTGTTTTATGGATAATTTTAAATTTAACAGGGGCTGAAAGGTGACCGAAATTTGTCATGTGCGAAAAAGATGCAAAGCCAAACGTCAATATCGAATTTGGCACAAAGGAAATTATGGTACAAGAGCTGTGGATGCATGTGCCCCGCGACTGCAAACGAAATGTGCCCCTTTTTATGTCTGCCTAGGTTGAACGGAAAAAAAAAATTTTTCCTTAAATTGGGAAAATTTCCTTATAACATGTAACACTGTTAATCCATTCGAAAGGTACGCATGAATAGATATGTACACCTACATACATAACCCTATGAGACGTTTTTCGATTATCCGAATTCACGCTACAAGAAGGTATGTTTGGTGTGACTATTCCGTTTAGGTGATGGTTTTTTTTTTCATTCGTTATAGGTGCTACTTTAATCGGTGTGATAACACATAAAAAAGATACGCAACAGTAATAAGTAATACATTCTGCTGTTCTTCTATTGAACTTCTTTTTCCTACGCCTAGGCATTTGTAGCCAACTCCTACATTGCATCGAATTGTTCATTAAAAAAACGAGTTGAATGTTTTTTTTTTTTTTTCTCACCCTGGAGGTGAACTTCCCACTTGGGAAAAATATAGCTAATTGTTGTTGTTGGTAAAAATTGACTCACGCTATGGTAAGTGATGGGGTAAAATAATCTTTGACATTTGACGGTGATGATGAGGATGAAGAACCTTTTTGTAAAAAAAAAAAAATACGAGATCACTTTGCAGTTTTTCCTTAGTGAATTAAGTTAACATCTTTGTTAAGCCAAAGTGGTGAACGTCATGGGTTATTCCTTAATATGGTATGCGTGAATTGCAAGCTGAAAAGGCCCAAGAGGGTCAAATGCGATGGGGGTGACGCGGGCGACGTGATGGCGATGTGATGGTGATATGATTAATTGCGCAAAGAGGGTAGAGGGTGAAGAAGAAAAAAAAGCTTGCAACCTCGTTTTCATTTTTTTTCTCTATTGTGTATGTACACAAAAAGAGCCCTATACCAATGTGGGCACCGCCGGTTGTTCTTATATATAAAAGTTATCTTTAAGTTGTCATTATATACATATATATAAATGTATTCCTTGGCACGGCGCCAGCGCTATGCACCTAGTATGGCCGAGGCGATTCTTCTTCATCCTCCTGTAAGCGAGCGCTGGGCTGTGCAAACCTCCACACAGTGCACTCTTACTTGTTTTACCTCAAGAACCTTTTTTCTTACTATGATAAAGTCGGCCCAAGTATTATACGTATGTATGAACCATTAATCATTCTATGCCCTCACATGTACTATAACATATGATGCATGCCCTTCCTCTATAAAACCAGAAAAAGTGTCGCCAAGTGTAGGTGATGCGTAGGCCTCTTAATTTGCTCCCAACGCCATCTTGCCCCCAAAAATTACACGTTGCACCGCGTACATAGTATTATATATAAACATATAATTAAATATTCGTTTATATATTTTTTCGTACACGTGCAGTTCCCTATGAAAGGCATCCAAAACGTGAAAAAAAAAAAAAACGATGTAAAAAAAAAAATTATAAATATATAGCTTGTATCAAAAAAAAAAAATATAAAAATAAAAATAAGGAAAAAAAAAAAAATAAAAATAAGCGAAAAAAAAAAAAAAAAAAAAAAAAAAAAAAAAAAAAAGGAAAAAAAAAAAAAAAAAAAAAAGCGAAAAAAAAAAAAAAAACAGAAAAAGAAACAGAAGTAGAAGCAGGAAGTTAAAACAAAATAAGCGAACCATGGTATTTGAAGGAATGTAAAAAAGGAAAAAAAACATTGAAGAAGAGAAAAGGTAAGATCCTACTTTTTATTAAATGCTGAAATGAAGCATAACGTGAATTTTATGTTCAGCCGAGTTTGTAACAGTTATGTTGCGTGTTCTTGCATTCTCATGTGGCTACGATGACCTTTGTGTGTTCATGTGTTCCCACTATTGTGCCCATGTAAAAAAAAGGATGTTGAAAGGAACATTATGCCCTCACGATCCTACATGCGTGAAATAAATGCATACATTTTTTATATACATGTTTACACGTTTATGTGCACTTTGTAAGTATGTACAACATGGAAAAGTTGTTAGCCCAATCGCGCCTCTTAGGAGCCTTTGCCGTTGCGCGAGGCCTGGCCGATTAGCCTTATATCCATTTTCTTCTCCTCCCAGTTCTAAATAAAATTGGGTGAACAGTTTACGTGGGGGAAATATATATACATAATAAATAGAGAATAACGTTTTAGGAAAAATTGCTACTTCGTCGTCGTTACCCATTGCATCATGTCGTGCCTCATTTGGATTGCATGCCATACCGCATGTGCTGCGTGCAATGTATAATTTACAGAATGTGATTATTTCATTCCCCACCCACCCCCACGTGTCACTGTCGGATTCCAGCGTGCCTCCGTTTTGTGTGCATCTGAGTTCGTCACTGTTGCACCATTCTAGATACCTGCCCTACCTGTATTGTTATTTTGTGTCCCTGAGTAAGGATGCGTATCTGCACAGGCTATATTTTCCCTATTTTTGTGAGTTCCTTTATCTTCATGTAGTTCCAGTGCCGTGTTCAAAGGGTCATAGCCCCACCGGGTTAAGAAGCAGTTATTAAGCTACGCAACCCGTCTATACATGCACCTACGTTTGTATCGCGCACGAATAGTTGTCTGGTTTTTTCTTTGTGTTACCCACATGTGTTGAAGTTCTCGCTTAAAAGTGTGCATCCCCCCGAATTGGCCCATTTACTAACATTCATGCATGCTTCGTACGACGTGAAAGCAGGGCCAACTGAGCATGAGTCATGAGCATTTACATCTGAGCACACATCGTGTGGAAAAGAAGCCATGGCGAAGCAGCATATGGCCTTCGCAACGTATGCCCAAGTGAACCTGTTGCTAGTGCCCCTTCTAAGCGGCCATCCGTGTGCACAAATGAGTATTCTACAAATTCTCCACGGAACGTAGAGTTATTTTTCCAATCCTCACGTCCCTCCCCCCTCTATTTCGACCCCTCTAACAGGAATATGAATATTGTGACAGAAAACATTCAGAGAGCTGATATGAAAATAATTAATTAAAAAATTAAATTAAAACAGGGCGTAATTTGGAAAAAAAAAAGGTAAGCAATGTAAGATGCGCAAAGCATGTGACAAGCACGCATGTACTTGTACATGGTGCGTATGTATATGTATATATGTATGTGCATATATATAGGTATACGTCCACGTAGTTGTATCGAACGACCACTTATGTCTGGCCTCTCCTCCCCCCCAGCAGAACAGTTCAGTTGCATTACTCGAAATTAAGTACCGAAAGAGACACTAAGCAGCACAGTGCCCATATAAGCAGAGAAGTAAAAGAAAAAATAAAATAAGACGCATTTTTAACAGATAAAAAGAGGCACACAAGTACATATACATAGGCACATATACATACATATACAGATAGATAGATAAACAGACAGATCGTTAGCTAAGAATACAGAGACGCGCATCTTTACCTTTTAACCACTCGCAGCGTAGTACAGCACAGACTTGCGCGTGTACATAAAAATAAACAGCTACAGATACAAACGTATTTAAAAAATAAAAAAAAATTTATAAAACACCTTGAGCAAAATGAAGAAAGATAGAGAACCAATAGACGAAGATGAAATGAGAATCACTTCCACCGGAAGAATGACCAATTATGTGAACTATGGTGCCAAAATTTTAGGGGAAGAAGATAAAAAAAGCTTGAAAATAAAAGCCACAGGAAACGCCATCGGAAAAGCAGTAACTTTAGCAGAAATAATCAAAAGGAGATTTAAAGGATTGCATCAGATAACCAGGTGCGGTAGTACCGTCATAACGGACCAGTACGTTAGTGGACAAGACAACAGCGAACATGTTGTGCAAGAGAAAACCGTTTCTTTTATCGACATTCTGTTATCCAGAGACCAATTAGATGTGAAAGATGCAGGCTACCAACCACCATTGGATGAGAAATATGTGAAGGAAATGTCACCTGAAGAAATTGTGAACACGAGACCATTTAGAGGAAGAGGATTCAGACCCAGATTCTTTCGTGGATTTAGAGGTGGCAGAGGTGGGTTCATAAGACGAGGTGGATATAGGCCATTTGGAGATAGAATATATGATGGTAGAAACACCTTTAGAGGTAGAGGATATGGTGTTGGTTTTGGTAGAGGTGGTTACAGATCTGGTGGCGGAATGGGCATGTCCGGAAGAGGCGGGTTCAGAGGCAGAGATGGCGGCTACCGCGGAGGTAGAGGTGGTTTCCGAGGTGGCAGAGGTGGCTTCAGAGGGGGCAGGGCTTTATCATAACTGAAGAAAATTTTAAATGAATTTGTTTAATTTTTGCGCTTGTTCAAGGGGGCCTTCCTATGTAAATGCAGATATATCGGTGTATGGGTGCAGGATTGTTCCATTGTTTTACTGCGCCAATATGTGGAGTGTGCTTAGCCAAGCGCAGACCCTGAGCATGCGGGGCACAGTGCACAAAAGATTCCACGGAGAACGGAATAATACAAAGCCTATTTGTTACGCATTTGAACATGTGTTCGTGTACATCCACGCATATTCAGTGCAGGCACGACACATGCACAACGCATACGCACCGCGCTTATATAAGCATATATAGGTATCCATGCCGCCTTTCGCAAAATTAAGCCTACTTCGTTCACCGTGGCATATGTGAAGCACCAACAAAATGTATAGATAAAAAAAAAAAAAAAAGAGAAGAGCCGCAACAGTTCACGCACCAAGTTCGCATGCATATACACCTTGAGAATAAACTGAGCAGCATATACGCACGAGTACTTTTTTGCATACAATTTTATGTGAGCCCGATTTGAGGAGAAAAAAAGAAGGAAGAGAAAAAAAAAAAGAAAGAAACAGACAAACAAACAAACAAATAAACAAAGAAAGAAAAAAAAGTTAAAACTTCCCCATTATGTATCTGTACACCATTTATACACATACGCACACGTAGTGGAACGACAAGGTGAAGATGCAGCAATACATGCATATTACTGTACACGTTTACTATAATTCAAGACCTACGAAACAATGCTGGAGTGTTATTTATACAATATAAAATTAAAAAAAAAAAAAATAAGCTATATTTAGAAACCATGGTTCAACCAAGCAGCGTTCAGCCGTGTCACATTTAGCCATCAAAAGTGAGTTCACCACAAGTTCAAATCAGAGAAATAAATATATTTATTTATATCTGTATGCACACAAGAACCATTTTATATATGCACGAGAATTTAAGAAACAAAAAAAAAAAATGTTCGCATTTTTTACATAATCGAATGGAGTAAAAATTATTGCATAACAGTTTATACATACATGTTGTACCCCCTTTTTACCACTCTTCTTTAATATATTCTTATCGATGCTCATACATTTAGAGAGATTCAACCCCAGCGCTTGTAGCCTGTTCAGCGATACAACGCGCAGGAATATATTACAAGAAGGCAAAGGGGGCATGGCATGTATGTGTTATGTATATTTTTTTTATGCCACAATATTCCACGACAGTTAAAAAAAAAAAAAGACATATATAATTGCACATATATAAGTACTCGTTTATAATCACACGTTTATAAGTAGACATTTATAATTGCACATTTATAAGTAGACATTTATAATTGCACCTTTATAAGTAGACATTTATAATTGCACATTTATAAGTAGACATTTATAATTGCACATTTATAAGTAGACATTTATAATTGCACATTTATAAGTAGAAATTTATAAGTATCCATTTATCGGTACCCATTTATCCCTGCCAATATATCAGTGCCCATTTATAGACACATATGTGAACATAAATACATGACACCTCGTGACGCATTTATTTCATGCACAGCCCGCCATTTTAATGAAGAGCAATTTACGAAGTTTTAAAGGCAATGAAAGACGTGAGAATGTGCTGTATTTACACGCCCAGAAATATTCTAAATTTCACTGGGCCATTTATTTATATTTATTTATTCACACATACGCATCATACACATTTATCCATCTGCATAAAACCTACGCCCCTTTTTTTTTTTATCAACATTTAAAACGACAAAAAACTGCATTTTGCCATATACACGAAATTAATTCATTTATATTCGTTTATTTAAAAAAACGGAGAGGTGGAAGAGGCGGATGAGGAACAACACAATGCGGAAAAAACGTGCTATCCAAATAGTGCAGTGGGTGCGTAACGCGAAAGAGCTGCCCTAATTATATCCCCCTTCTTTTTTTTTCTTCCGAAGAGATCTTGTCTGCTGTATTAACGTCGGGAAATGCCTAGGACGAAAGTTGTGGCATCCATTTGTTCCAAGTCGAGGCTAATATTAGGAACTTCTTTCACCTCTTGTTTATTCACATCTTCATAATGCAAAATAGAGCACTCCTTTTTCCCGCCTAAAGGATTAAAAATGAACGGAGCTGCGCAACACAGGTTTGATTCTTTCATAAGGGGCGCATGTCACATTTATTTTATCCTTTTCCTCTTTGGAAAAAAAGTAGGACATTTGTTTAGTACACTCCCTGAGCTAGCCAATTTGCAAAAAGTTATATTCGCCTTGCCCTTCATAAAAAAAAAAAATTTGGTGGTATTTCCAAATACGCTTTTTCCTTTGTGTTGTCATTAAGCATCAAGTTCTGTTCAACTTAGCCAAGTATCCTTCGAGGGTCACAAATTACCAGCACGAAAAAAGGGGTTAAAATTTTTCTTTCCACTTTTTACGTGAAGGGGTAAAGCATATTAAATTTGTACGGGAAAAAACAGAATGAGCAGCGTCATCTGCTTAAAATGTTTGTCCTTTAGATGGAGATAAAAGACACAGCGCTGTGGGGAACGCACGCGCATGGCAGCGTCATACAAAAAGCACTTCACTTCATCATTAAGTTGCAAAACTTCGCAAATGTGTAAACAAGTGCAAAAAACTACGGTTTCAATTGCGCAGTGTGCGGACGGATCGAATGGCCGGTGTGAAGCAACACCTTTTTATTGTACATTAAAAAAATAAATTATATTGGAAGAAACAAACAAATTGCCCATTTGCTCGAAAGTTGCGGTAGAAGAAAAAAAAAAAAAAAACGACACAAAATGGGGATCACAAATGTGTACCTCTCCTTCGAGGAGCATTATTAATCCTTCCGATAATGCAAGAGATGGAGAAGGAAGTAACATTCCTTCCTCACTCTTTGGTAATGCCCAGATCGTCACTTAAACTTCTTACTTATTTCTTTGTAATATTTCATCTGCTTACTGGTAACGCTGCGTGGGACCATCTTAACCGCCAGCAGGATGTGCCTTTGGCTAATTGTCAGTATGTTTTTATTCCTTTGAATGAACTCATAAATTAAGTTATTCTTATCTTTCTCACTTATGTCTTTGTTTTCTAAACTGTTAATTTTGTACATCCGATTATTTTCCATGGCAAGGTTATCAAGACTGGGTGGGATACTCATTTTTTTCCTTCTTCTTAATTCAACTTGCTGGGATAGCAGACATTTCTGTTTCCATTCCGATTGTTCGTTTGGCTCATCTGATAAATTGGCTCTACCATCGGGATTGGAGAAAAGCAAACTGGTCGTCTTCTCCGTTAGGGAGGTTCCCCTTTCGTTTGTTAACTCAGTCATTTTGGACGCCTCCTCGACAGTGTCGGAGGGGCACAACAAATTTTTGCTTCGTTCTGGTGAGCATGCTTCTGCGCTATTCTCATCGTATGCGGGCGCATTAGGAACATTAAGCGGTGGGAAACACAAATGAGGATTAGCGTAGTTGGCCCCCTTTTGGGTGCATTCCCCTACTTGGCTTTGATCAATAGTTGCCACGCTACATTGACTGGGCATTTTTGTGCCTCCATCGAAGGAGCCCTTCGTGCAGTTGCTACTTCCAACATCTGTAACCGTGTCCCCATTTTCGCGTTTCACAAAGGAGGGCTCATTGGATGTATCCCTGCAGAAGCCACCTTCTTCGCGGGAGTGCTGTGTTGCATCACCGCCGCTCGACAAACCCGAGTTCAATAAATCGATTTTATCTCGACAGTCCTGGAGAGCGATGAAAGCACTTTCTCGCAGAACTCCGTACAAGTCAGCCCCGCTATAACCCTTGGTCAACCGAGAAATTTTGGGAAAATCTACATCAGCATCCAGGGGCATATTTCTGGAGAGCTTTCTCAAAATATCAATTCGTCCCTGATATTTTGGTAAAGAAATGTAAATAAGTTGATCAAATCTACCGCTTCTTAGCAATGCCTTGTCGATTATATCTGGTCTATTCGTCGTAGCAATGATGTAGACACTTTCCCTTTGGGAGAGTCCATCCATTTCAGTGAGCAGTTGGTTTACAATTCGATCGGATGCTGCTGCAGCTTTGTTGTTTGCCCTGTTAATGCAAATACTGTCAATTTCGTCGAAAAAGATGAGACAAGGCTTGTAAATAGATGCGTAGGAAAATATTTCTCTGACTTTTTTTTCACTTTCTCCAACATATTTATTCAAAATTTCGGGTCCCTTGATAGCTATAAAATTGGCCTTCATTTCGTTACTTATAGCTTTGGCAAGCATCGTTTTTCCACATCCAGGTGGCCCATAAAGTAATATTCCCATGCTTTTGTTTATCCCTAGATGTTTGTAAATGTTTGCATATTTCACTGGTAAGATGAATTTCGTCTCTAACACTTTTTTGATTTTTTTTAAGGAGCCAATATTGTCCAAGTTGATATTTGGCACTTCACATATATTCTGTGTAATCATTTTCTTTTTTATATTTCTTACACTTTGGTGAATAATCTCGTCATTTATTTTTCGGCAGGTCATTTTTGGTCTTTTCACTTTGTACGTTATAGCTCCTCCGCTCTGCTCCTTCCTCTTCAGGTTTGTTTCGTTCCTCTGCTTCGAGGGAACTGTATGAGAGTTAAACGTTGTGACGGCATCCCTTTTCGAGTCATCCTCTTGAGGTTTACCCCCATTTGGACGTACTTCCGAGTTGTTCACCTGGTAAATGTTTTCTCCGTTCGGATGAGGGGCGTCATTATTCTGGATTGAAGCTGCAAGTTGCGTGCCCTGACCCACCGGAGGTAGTACCTCCGATCTGGGCTTCCCACTGGAGTCCCTCTCAGTGGAGGCTACGTCCATCTCGCTCCTTATCCCGGCCAAACCCCCCCCGTCCACTTGGTCATATATGCACAGATTCATCGACTCGTTTGCAATATCGTAGAGGTGTCCCCGATGAAAGCCGTATGTTAAAGCTGCTGCATATTTCGAATCAAATGTGAGGGAAAACTCTTCCGCCATGAATTCGAGAATTTCCACTCGATCTTCGTACGTAGGGATAGGTATGGAGATAAATTTTTTAATTTTTGTATACAGAACACTGTCATACGGTTTGTTAACACTTAGTAAAAGTATGAGAACATTTGAGTTTTCAAAGAGGCTCAGCAGATATGTGAAGAGATACAGATCTGTTGAATCATCTTTGGATGAAAGGATCACATCTATATCGTCTATGCAAAGGATAGCCTCATTATACTCGTTTATTATTTGCTCAAAAATTAATTTTAACTTATTATTTTTACTATCATTGGAAATATATTTTATATATTCTGGCAGCTTTAGGTAAAAAAATGGACAGTCACATTCTCCGGCTATCGCATACGATAATGTGGTTTTTCCTGACCCACTGATTCCGCTAATATTAACAATTGTGCTGAAATTACCCTCCCTAAATTTATGGGGGTAAATTATGCTGTAATAAATGTCTTTTTTGATATTTTTTATTCCTTTATAGTTCCCTAAATTGGTATCTGTTTCGATGTTTTTTTTAACGTCCTTCAGGAGATTATATGCTGCGTAGCTTTGTTCCTTGACGCTGTCCTTTTGGGACTTCCCCTTCTCCTTTTCTGAGCTGAAGTCTGCATTTTTTTCCTCCTTCACCCTTTTCTTCTTGTTGTCTCCCATTTTTAGTAGGGCACGCTTGACTTTTCTACTTCCATCTTGGGACAGTTGTTCATCCTGTTCTTTTTTTTTTTTTCCTTTGGTGGGGGATGGCGGTTCGTCTTGCTCGCGCGGCTGCAACGTATCACCGTCTTGGCTGTCATGATCGTGATGGTCGCGCCCATTGGGCTCACCGTGGTGACGGTGCTGCTCCCCCGCCCCGCGACTTCCCTGGAACCCGTTCCAAGAAATACCTCCCCCCTTGGAGACACCATCCCCTTCAAACGTTTTCTTCAAAACGTCGATAATGAGAGCGTTTAGTTTGTTCCTGGGAAGCCGTCTGTACTCCAAGAATTCTTTCCGCAAGGAATTCTCTATCAGCGTGCAGTTATTAACAACGTTTTTCAGGTTCGTTTGGTTATCTTCATTTTCGAGGATGAGCTTGTTGCCCGAGATTATTTTGTGTATTCTGTTTCGTATTGTTGTGGATAGCATTTTGGGGGCGCGTTAAATGGGGGGACGACCGGAATGGGAAAGCTTGTAGCATCAGATGGTTGAAGCGGATGGACAAATAGGGAAAATGGGTCAGTTGGGAAAATGTGGCAAATGGGACAGTTCCGCCACTTTGACCAATCCGGAAAACTGAGGAAGAAAAAAGCCCCTGTTCCTTCAAAAGGATAAAATCGCTGTAGGAATCATCTCCTTTTTTTCGCCTCTCTGAATGATAATTCTTAAAATGTAGTATACGTTTTTTTCTTTTCTTCCCTTTTACCGGGCCTCTATTTTTGCTTCTAACATTGTTGTATTCAAACGGGAAATTTAAAAAGAATTGTCAAAAAAAAGTAGTCGGAGCGTGCAGCACAATGGGGAGCCCTGAAAATGGTAAAAAAAAAAAAAGAAAAAAAAGTCACTTACAACTTTACCTTTACGAATGGCAGATTTGAGAAAAAAGAAATTGCAAACAGGCACATACAATCAAGTTGCCAAACGCGCTTATCACTTTTGCCGAACGAAGGTTTGCCCCATAGCTGGGGCTTTTTACAAAAAGGGGGGTAAATAAAAAAAAACTGTTCTCTTGGCATGCATCGTGTTAAACATTCCTCGCATGCGTAACGAATGGACAGTTTTTCAATATACTGATTGGAAGCAGCGGAATAAAAAAAGAGGCAATGTATATGTGATTCCCCCTCCCCCCCTTGCCGTTGGCAGAACGGAAATTCCGTGCTGCTAAGTGCTTATAATTTTTCAAAACGTTGTTTTGTTGGCAAATGGGCAAAAGGAAAAACTTGACGAGGTGAAATAATTTGATTATGTTACACATACAGAGGATGCGCAGAAACGGCGAGATTTCTTCCTGATTGGAGGGCCCCCACGAAAGGCATATAATATATCCACCCGCATATCTCGTAAAACGATCAAAGGAAAAACAATTTTTTCTTTTCTCTTTCTTTTTCCATTCCGAAAGTTACCAAGTGGAAAAATCCCACGTGTTAAACTTTCTATTATGAATACTTCATAGAGGTACCCTCGTCCGGGGTTAAAAATATCCCCAACATGGGAAACTACTCATGGGGACGAACAAGCTCGTGCGTTTAGAATGAAGAACATGGAAAAGCTCCTATTCGGGACAGAAACTTCCTATTTTTATTGGGGTAAGGAAGTTATTAAAAGTGGAGGCAAATGTGCTGCTAAAAGCTGTGCGTATAGACGAACTGACTATAACTTCACAAAGGGGAAAAGTTCCGTAGAGTCGGTGGAATATAAATTGGACAACCGGCGCGCAAAATAGGCCAGGGTCTTCTACACACCCTCACTTTGTGAAATATTCAAATGAGATTTTTAAAATTTTTCATGTTAAACGGATCCGACATGGCTTGTACATTCTTCTCATACCTACGAAACTCGTCAAGCGATTTGCTCGCCTTGAAGGATATTTTTAAGTAAAGCTCCTTTTTATCATGATCTTCCTCGTTTAGCGATTTGTTGTTATATTCTTGTTCTATTTGAGTTAGGTAATCCTCATAGCTTAACGTTGCCGTCCTGTTTAGTAGCTCCTTAAGTATGAAAAATGAAATGTCCTTGATTATGAAATAATTAAAGTGTGATTTTGCAACCGCTAGGGGGTAAATATAATGTTCCATAATGAATTCCTGTAGTTGATAGTCGTATCGGAGGGGAAGTTCCTCTGTTTTATTGGAGGACTTCCCCTTCTTATTTGAATTTCCTGTATCCTGCTTGTTCCTCGTGTGTGGTGCATCGGCATCACTGTAGGAGGAGAGGGTATTATTTCCCTCTTTTGTGACTTCCTCGGTCGGTGGCTTCCCCCGTGGTGAGTCTTCACCCGAATTGTCACTAAAATGTTGGTCAAAAAAAGAAAGTTCGCTATTCGAATCTTGTGACGCACAGATGCTTTTGGTGCTGTCCACATAGCTTGAATTATCTGGTGATAAATAATCATCACTGTGAAACCCATTGGAGTAGTTCCCATTTTGGGAAACCTTGGTTTCGTATTCTTCTTCAGTCATGCTAGCATAAGACGGTGGTTTATCCTTTGCGGCTCTAAACTTGTCGCTTCTTCTTTCCATTTTCCTTTTTTGTAAAGCCATTTTTCTTTGGTTTTCCTTCACTTTGGAGAGGAACATATTTATGTCTTTACTTTCGCACTTGTTGTAGGAGAGGTTTTTATTCAACGTACCTTGTTCTTCTTCATTCGATTTCGACTTGCCGATAAATTTGTAGAACCCATTCGTGATGGCAGATGTAAAATCATTTAAATTCTGGACAATAGCTATTTTTGCATTCTGCATATTTTTATCCCACTCAAACCAGTATCTAGCTCCATTATTTCTCCAGTAATTTATCAAAACGGGTTCTGGGATGTTCTTGATTTTGGGATATATGAGTGGCTCTATTCTGAATGCAACGGGATCAAACCCATGGAACAGGTTGTAAAATTTTATCCCCTCCATTAATCTTAACCCCTTGTTTATGTAATCTGGCTTGTACAATGATAGTAACGCACTTAGGGGGCTTCCCAGCATGAAGAAATAGTCGATTTTACTCTTCAGATGGTACTTTAGGTCACTGTCACTGATTCTTACTTTGACATTGTGCAAAATTTCGTACGCCATAGCGCTCCCGAGGGAGTAGCCTAACAGGCAGACCTTAGAATTTTTGAACCGTCCGCTGGGGTCCTGCGTAGGGTGAGTGAATATACACACGAAGTGGTATTGTCATCGCGTATGCGGGAGGGCATCCCTGTCGCCTTTGCTACACCGTAGTGTTATATCATGCAGTGGGAACCATGCGCAGGGGTTATTCTCGAGAAAACCCCCTCGTAGTGTGACACCACAGGATAATTCACATGTTTTCCCATTTTTCATTTTAAAAATTACGCTCTTTAAAGATTCTAGTGCCTTGTTTATGTCATTGTACAGGTTTGACATTATGTAATCGCCATATCTTGGGTGCAGGAAGCATATGATGTCCCCCGCCGAGAGATTCACGATCTTTCGGGTCTCCGCCATGGTGTTGATGTTTATCCGGTTGAAGACGCTGCGATGTGGAGAAAAAGTCAGATGATGCAGAGAATAAGAAAAAAAAAAAAAAAAAATAAAAAACAGAAACGGATCACCCACAACTCGCACAACTGTTCGGTTTCGTTTTCACGTAAACAGGCAGAATGAGACACCGATGAATAGGATTAAAGTCGACGAGCTGAGGATACGAAGGTGCGGGTATAGATACCACCGCTGCTATGAAGCATTACTGAATCTGTGCGTCTATTATGTACTTCTTCCAGTTGAATATATGGAAATGAATATTAAAAGGATAATCAAAAAACCACATTTTTTTTACAATTTTGAAACTATTTTTGAGATCTTCACATTGATTTATGATGATCTCTTCATTGGATCCTATTCCATGGATTATTAAAATGATGTAATCCACATCATTAACTTTATCATCTAAGTATGGTTCTTCTTCGTAAAAGTTGATGTCTGCCTCATCTTTACTTTTGGGCATTTTCTTCGTAGTCACATTTTTTTCACTTTTGGTGAAAAAGAAAAAATGCTTATTTTTCTTTTTCCTTAAATCGTCCTCGTCATCCCCTTCTTCTTCTTTTAAAGTGGGAGCAGTCATTATGGCGGGGTGGTACGTACGATTTTTTTCTTTTTTTTTGGGGGGGTCTTGTCTTTTTAAATGCTATTTTGTTCTGTGTACAAACTGGTTTTTCAACTTTGTTTGACTTGTTTCTTTTTTTTTTTTTTCTTGGGGGGGAAAAATTTAGTGGTACCTCCAAGTGTATCTTCCCCTATTTTTACACTCCCCTTTTTGTTTGCTTCGGCAAAATTATACACATTTCGCAGCAGAGGGGGCCACTTATTTGTGCAATCACGATGCGGTTATCGTGACAGGGGGGAGAAATTCAGTAACCTGCTAAGTTATTCAAAGGGGGGGATGCGTTTATTCACGCAAATAAGATTAACCATTCGTGAGCAGCTCTGCTCACATCGCCTATGCAACATTGCAAACAAATTAAAACTTGCGTAGGAGCGTAAACTGTTAAATGGAGGGACGGGCTTAAAAAAATTGCGGACAAATTAATGCTACAATTTGGAGGCCACAAATTGGAGCCTACAATTTTGAATTTTTTTGCTTCAAAAGGGAGACTCTACATGAAGTGTTAACGTGGGTGTAACTATTTTGTTTGTTGAAGCAATTTTTTTTTTTCTTTCGCGTGGAAAGCGCAAATTTGGTATCAATATTCGTTAAGGGAATTTCTCCCTCTTTTCCTTCTTTCAATTTTTTTCTTCCCATTTGAATTTTCCCAATTTGTTCATCATTTTTCACATTTTTTTTTTCATGCATGAGTGTATAGAGATTGTGTTTGTTGCTTTTGAAGAGGGCATAAGAATGCGAAAAAAAAAAAAAAAAACGCACGTCAAATTGTGCATCCTTTGCGAAGTCACGCACAATTCTATTTTGGTTTAACATTCACATGACGCTCTTTCCGGTTAATGATAAATGGTGTGTGACTGTGTATCTCTCTTGTAAAGCGAAAACTGTGTGCCTTTTTTTATGCCTGTTTTGTGGCCGTCTTTTCCTGTAGCTCATGGTCCGCAGTCACCCTTTTAAGCGCTACTTCATTCATGAACAGTTTGGGATGACACGAAAGATAAACCCTTTTTATGGAGTCGTAAAAAAGGCAACACGCGAATATTAGCCAAATCCGAACGGTAGATATTTCAATCGTTCATGTTTCCTGCCAGGAGAAATATTCCTTCCGTTTCCGCTTTGTTGAAGACACTCTCGCAGGTTGGAATTGTATACTTATACACAATTGGTCGTAAGAACACCAAAAAATTACCACTTTGTTTTTTGTGTACTGCCACCACTTTTCAACTCCGCGGACACGCAAAAAAATGGGTCATTGAAGAAGTAAAAAAAATTGTGACCCTTCGGGAACAAGAGAAGAAAAGAAACGCAAAAAAAAAAAAAAAAATAGGAAGAAGAAGGCTGGTTAAAAGGGAAGGACTTGTAAGAATACGACGGAGGACCCGCAAAAAAAGGAAGAGGCACAACGGAAGGAGCAGAAAACACAGAGGCGAAAAATCCAGAGTCACTCCCCCGGGACGATGCACGAAAAAGAGCGAAGATGGGAAAAATGTTACCAAAAGGGGAAACACATACCATGTTAGCGATGAAGGCGGCTTTTTTCCTATACACATGAGGAGAGAACAAACTTCTTTTTTTCCTTTTTGTTCTTTTGGTTCATTTGGTTCATTTGGTTCATCTGGCTCTTTTGGCTCTTTTGTCTCTTTTGGCTCTTTTCGTTTATTATTCTTTTACAACGTAGAACGACTGAGGGGGTAAAAAATTTACATTTATTTTTTTTTTTAGATTAATCCTCCTTTTTTCTATGTTTACGCACGAGCAAAAAAAAAAAAGAAAAAAGAAATTGTTGTAACCATACTTGCTCTGCTGTGCAATAGAACAAATGGGGATTCCTCATGCTATACACTTTTCACTTTGTGTTTGTACATCCCCCCAGGGAATAGCAAAGTGGCCACAACAAAATGGCATTACGGAATGATAAAATTGGCTCGAGCAGTACTCATATCATGCGCATTTACAGCGATGAGAAAACTATATCAAGGAGGTACCCCTTACTACCATTTGGCGGAGAAGAAAAAGAAAAAAAAAAGAACGTAACATAACACAGAGGAGAAATTTGGAAAGGGGAGGAAAGGGAACAGCACAGAGGGGGCAAAGGCGCAGAACAGGTACAACATAAGATATATATAACGCGTTCAACTGTACATCATGTATGCGTATATACACACACCTATTCTATACGCGTTTATAATCGCTACTTGTGCGCAAAGCTCACATGGCAGCCGCAATTTTTATGTCGCACAACAATTCTAATTAATAGTTGTAGTACTTGACGCACCTACCTTTTATGAAGCAACTTTTGTGGTTTCATGTGAATCTGCTTCAGAACAATTCTCGAGTGCTACTATCACAATGGTCATTTTCGTAAATGGGTAATTTTTTTTTTTTTTTTATTTAATCATTTCTTTTAATTACTTCGCAAAGCAACTCTCATATGTTATTAAGAAATAAATTCCGCAAAATTACGATCGCGTGGAAAGTAACGTTTAGCTTCTTCTTTAACTCCATGTCGATTGCACTCACAGAGACATAATCTGCACTAATTGGTTGCTCGCCAACGTTGCTCTTATTCTTAGTGAGGACATTCGCGTATGTACGTGCTGTGTATTCGTCACATGACTGGGTGTTGTGCACGTTCCTATTGAATGCACACGTGTACATGCATGGAAGGATTACCTCGAGTGTTTTGATCCCCTCCCTTTTGCTACCATCTCTACATACATCCCTCCACACGTTATATGGATATTAACACCCTAAAAGAAAAGCGCATATGCATAGACGATTCAAGTAGGGCGCACAAAAAAAAGTATACAACCTTTTTTCTGCTAAACCCAGATGGTATTGTCGACTCGGTTGCGGGGCTAGAGAACTTGGCATTTTCCTTTGAGGGCAATTCGTATAAAAACGCTAGATGCTATAAATGCTTATCCGTTTTTTCCTGTGAGAGCACTGCTGTGTATAGGACCTGCCCTAAGTGCCATATTGTAAACGCACTGGTGCCCCACGACAGCATAGGACGAAAAGTTCTTATTCTGATTTGCTACCAGTGCAATAGCAGGAACCTGACGAACATTGACTGTTCATACGTGCAATGCTTTTTGTGCAGCCGTGTGAACCTTTCGCAGTACGATAGTGCGAATCTCGCCCCAAGTCAAGGCGCCCATGACAGCCCGCAGCGGAAGCAAAAAAAGAACCACCGAGGCCCCATCGCGAACATGTTCAAATGCTTAAGACTCAGAAAAAATAGGAGAGAAAGGGCCCCCTCCTCGGGGGACAGCGACAGGGAATGTTTCGAAGAAAGTTGCGAGGAAAGCTGCGAAGGAAGTTGCGAAGAAAGTCGCAGTGGAGAGGCAGCACGGAGTGAAGTCCAAGATGGGTCCATGCAGAACAATGTCAGCTTTGAAAACGTTAGGGAGAATGACAAAGAGGAAGATCCGAACGGACAAAGAACAAACAAGAAACTCTTTAGTGAAGAAAAAACACATGGATACACACCGGAAGGAAAATATTCAAATGAGGACTATCGAAAAAAATATTCTCAATCAAATAACAGTGGGTATAATACAAGTATGAATTATATGCCCTACTCAAATGATAAGTTTCAAACGGGTTACATGAGAAATTCGAGCAACAACTATGGCCAAATGGGCTACATGAAAAAGGGAAGCAACGAGAGCGGTAACTACTATCCTAGCGGTAGCCACAGCAACGGAAGGATCGGCAACCCCAGTAGTGGGTACCCACGAGAGCACAGCAGCTTTCATAACAGCAAGTATGACAAGAACTACCAATACAGCTATTCCCACAACAACACGCATGGAAGTTCTTGGAACAAAGACAGCAGAGTCCACGAAAGCAACAATCATGACATGCACAGATCGGAAAATTATAACTACAAATTGGGGACTATTGTGGAGAGTGGAAATGTTAAAAGAAAAACACTCATGTTTAATAACGTTAATGATTCGAGCGTCAAAAAAGTTCATAAAACTATAAGCTTTCTCGAAATGGAAAGAAAAAGAGATAGCGATGTCCGGGCATGTATAGAATATTTTAACTCCCTACGTAGAAGCAAAAATGATGATATTAAAATGATTCTTGAAAATCAAAACTTTAAAGAATTGAATATTCCCAAAGAGCATCTTGAAAATCGACATTTTTACAGATATGTAGAATACTACAAGAAACATAACTTGAAAAATTTAATAGACCAATTTAATGAATCCTCTGCGAATCACAGGAACAAAAGCAAAGATTCTGGTGAGAAGGGGAAGGACTCTGCTTCCTCCATTTCGAATGGCATAAATAAAGATAAAGCCACCCAGAGTGGTAGCAGTAATGGGAATGATAAAGGTAAGAACGGTGCAAGGGATCCCTCGGGCAATGAAAAAAACACAAGTAGCAAAAGCACAGACAGTAAAACGAAAAAAGCCAAGCTCTCGGAAATTGACTCACTTGATGATCACTCTCATGGGGATGGAAACGCATACCATAAGAACAAAAAGTCGAAGTGCGAGGAAAATATAAAGCCCACTTTTTACACCATAGACGATTTGTTCGAGTAAGTCTGGGCTGTGTACACAGCACGGTGAACCGATAAACAGGGAAGCGGCCAAGCGGCGAAACAGACGAGCAAAAATATGTACCTCCCCCTTTAGTCGCCCTCTTACGCACCCGACCCCCCCGTCAAGAAGAACCAGACGCATAACGCGTCCGTATAATGCTTCCCATGCGCGTATCCTAATTTTCCACTGCAAAAATTCGGCAAAATTTAGAGGGATAAAACGCCGAGTTGGCTGGCAACCCACGCTGTAAAATAAAGAAGTTCCGCGGAGCATCCCAGTACCTGTATAGACGTGCGCCACAAAATTGCGTAGATTTATTTGCAAAAAAATAAAACTAATTAAAGGCTATTTTTGAGTTATGCATATAATTTACTTCCTCTACGTGAGACACCTCGTAGGTTTATTCTGTTATATTGAAGTCTTTTTTTTTTTTTTTTTTTTTTCCTCTCTTGTGTTTGAATACTTAATTCTCATTCCCACGTGA